GAGCCTAAATCAAGTGCAAGGCCTAGATGTAAAAAAAAAAAAAAAACAAAAAAAAAAAAAAAAAAACCCCACTTTTACCTGTTCAGTGACCCCGGGCGCCGTTCACAATGACGGTCTGGCACATTTAATCTGAGATTACATTATTGATGCCTGCTCTCATGTGCCGTCCGGCTCGGGCCCCGTGTCTTCCACACCTTGTAATCAAGCATAATTGAGGTTAACTGTACGGCACCGATTGAAACGCTAGACAGGTAAGCCTTAGCCTCTCATGATTAATGTAGTGTGCTCGCTCTCTGGGCTCTGACCTTTTGAGATAGGCCAGGCACCATTTTTAAGTGAAAGCTCTGCCCCTGCCGAGTTGTGGAGTTGTCCATCAAGTCCCAACAGCCCTCCTCCTCCCTTCATCCCACCCGATTCCCTCCCAGAGTGAAATCCGTGGATTGCTGCCTCTTTGCCCCTGACCCATGTTTGTTTGCCTTTTTGTCTCATTTCACAATACAGAACCAAAAAACTGTTTTCCACCACCTATTCATCTTGTGTGTCACGAGCAAAAGATTCTATCTTGTTGTTTTACAGCCACAGACATCTTTCTAATTCTACTCGTCCGCCTCCACGTTCCGATTAAAAGCGTATATTTGCCCTCCATGGTTTCAAGCGTCCAGGCCAGTGAATGCCATTGTCCAGCCCCCGGCCGGCCAGCGATCGTCCGTCTGCTCTCCTGCGGATGTAAACTGGCAGCGAGGTCATGTCCTTGCCTCGCTCTCAAACATCAGCATTGTCAGAGTAAAACTGAGCAAATTTGCTTTGGACTTGGAGTGCCTTCAGAATGCACACTGCCATTCTCACAGCCACACAAAAAAGGGGCAGACAAAAAGATGGACTGCGAGCATACAAAAAAGGACAATCCGCCTTTATGTCCGGATTTGCCGGAAAAATCGGTAGGTGTACTTGTTAATCAAGGACGTGGAGGACCCAGGTCACCATCTGTAACATAGACCAGGGGCAGTAAATGGATGAGGTGGGGTGAAAGGGCACCCCTCAGACATTCCTTTGGAAAATAAACAGAACAAAAACCTTCTCTGGACAGGTATTCTAACGCAGATCTATCAATTTCAACTGGCGCTGCTTTCTGAGTTTCAAAAACGCGTTTAATGAGACGTCGTTAGAATTGCCCGCACGTGAAAAACTCTCATTTGTTTTCATCCTTTTTTCCCGTGGCACGTAACATATAGCGGTCCGAGTAAATGGGCTTCATCATCACATTTCAAACACTCATTTGGGAGTGAGTCTAATGCAATTAGCAGGTTATCGGTGGTGAAGTGGAGTTCTATTCCTGTGGCCTGACAGAAGGGAGGATAGGCTTTCTGTTGCACCACAGAGGAAGATGCAGTAGAGAAGACTCCCACACCTATTTTTTTGTTACACTGTTACTCATCTCTACTTTAACAGCATCTGTTGGCATCACTTGTCTGGGCTGGCGATCGTGGCGCTTACTTTTCGTACGCAACACACTTCAAAATGTTTAAAACGACCTAAAAGCAAAAAGGATACAAAAAAACATTTCGAAAAAACCTGACCTTTGGCATTCAAGCAACAAGCAAGTGTATTTAATGTTTGGGGGGCCAGCCCTGCCTTTGTGCTGGAGCCGGTGGTTGAATGAAAGGCAGCGGCAGGGGTCACTTCAGGCATCTGCTGCCCCGCTCCTGCACCACTCAACCGTCCATCTGTGTGCGCCGCCGTCCTTCTGTCCTCACAGACACACAACTACACGCACCCTCTGTGATAAACGCTACATGTGATTGCCCACTTCTTGTAGACACGCGAGCACGCTGGAGTGTTTTTACCCTGCGTCTGTTTAAACCTTAAAAAAAGGCTCCTTGGAGGGGAAAAAAAAGGTGTCAAGCTTTATTGTAAAGAAAACTACAGCGCCTGCAAAACCGTAACGGTGGTAAGTGGATGAAACCAGAGTGGGAGGGACCCCTCTGGAGGATAAAATCTAGTCAGTAAGTAAAGTAGCAGTTGGTGAAAACTGCATAATGAAATTCTTACTGGATTTTGAATGTCATGCTTTCAAACATGCAGCGTGCAATCGTCCACTCTGTCAACTGTCTCTTCCATATTTTGAACCGTCACAGTGAATTGCCCATTTAACACATTTGCGCTTTCATGCATGGTCCCCCACTGTCCGGCAGCGTGATTTATGCCTTTCCTGTTGCTGATGAGGACATCGCTGATAACAGAACCGTTGAGGCGTTCTCTCGAATCTTTAAGGGGCTGGTGGGTGTTTTCTCATGGAGCAACACCTAGTAGATCTTCGCTAATGCAGTCGTACAGCTCTCTAAAAAAGGAGCCTCCACGCACAGATGTGGGGTGTCAAGACTATTTGTGTTATACATTCTCCACATTTCTGATGAAAAAGACCCCTCTCTTTGCCAGCTTTGGTTCGCTTAGACTAATATATTAGAGCCAGGTTTCAAATAAACACAACGCTCTTCTTTTCTTTTCTTTTTTTAACTCTCACTGCTCTTGTGTGGATGGAGGGACAATAAGGCAGTTGTGATGGAGAACTTTATAGGAACATTTAACTTAAGAGTGAGGGATTGAAGCCGGTAAACAAAGCATTCCTTTCCCTTTCATCACCATTTAAGTGTTCCCTTAACATTCAGCCTCACCTCCAGGCCAGTGCCCAGCAGAGCGGGGGAACTTGTCAAATAAAAATAAATCAAAAAGTGAAAGTTTATTCCACAAAGTTTACAACCTGTTGCTTGGAAATCCCCCTTGAAGGGACGTTACTGGATTTTTAATAAACAAGAAATCATCCATAGAGTCCTGGTATATGACACTGAAAGAGCCCTAGAGGGCTGCACAGGTTCTTCCATGGTGCACTTGCAAGCATCAGGGATAGTGGGGGCTCTCGGTAGGCTATGGCTATGGTGTTCCATCCCTGGAGGGGCCATTTGGTCATACTCAAGGGGAAACATTGTCGTGTCAGTCATTGGTAGCGGCCGCTAAAGAGTGCACTTAGCATCCTTCGTTTCCCCCTCGCAAACATGTGGGGAGTGACATGATACTGTACAAGAGCCCGAACAACATATAACATTTCAAAGCCATTTCCTAATTGTTTCCAGGCCAAGGCCAGGCCGAGCTTGTATGGAAGCAATCCCTTCTTTCAAGCTTTTTTTTTTGTTTTGTTTTGTTTTCATCCACAGATTGGGAAACATTAAAGTGTTAAGTAAACTTGACCCAGGCATGGCTAATTCATTGGGAAATAGCGGGGCTTTCATACATTCTGTACTAGTAGTGACAATCACTGGAGGGATTGGCTTCTACTTGGATGGTCACCATACGTCGATGTGGCACAATCCCGAGCCCCCCCCCCCTCAATGAGTAATTACATTTCTCGTCCATAAGGAGATATGTGTTTACAAAGGGTGACAATGGGATGGATTTGACCTGAGGGCAAAGGTATATGTGGTCCAGATGCACTGTGCTCATCTTACAGGGGAAATCAGACTTTTAGCTAGACAAAAGATCCAGTATCTTCAATCATGTGAAAAAGAAATAACACTATGTCAAGTTAAATATTAGCACATGACAAAAGAAAAAGCAGAAAGATTATCTGATCAGATTTTCAAATGTAGTCAAAACTCAGACTAACATAAACATAAAACCTCTTACATGTTTGTTTTTATCTTTTACAACATTAAGAAGCAATGTAGTAAAAATGAAGCCCATTCCATGATTCAGTAGAACTACATTTGGCTTTAATAACTTGAAGTTTTGAAATGTTCAAACTCTAACACTAGGGTTGCAAAACTATTGATCCATTCTTCTTCAAACACTTGCTTCGGTTCACTGAAGCCTGCACACCTTCCCTCAACGGCTGTTCGGTCAAGCTGAGAATTTGACTGGACCATTGCAACACCTGGATGCTTTTTTGGAGAATTTTTCAGAAAATCTGATGATGTTTTTGGGATCATGCCCACTTGCATGACAAAGCTATATCTATATATAGATTCTCTGCAGGTGGGTTTAGAATTTACCCAATAAGAGCAAGGTGCACAGGTTCTGTGATGGCTAAACAAACCCAAAATCATCAGTCCTCCACTAGTTGACAGTTTGGGGGATGGGGCGTGGAGTGAGAGAGGGGGGGGAGTCCCCTACAAGTGGTTTTCATCAAATATGGAGCTATCCATCAGAAACAACCCCCTTTTTTTTACAGATTGTAAATTCTGCTTGTGGGTCCAGTTCCCATTAATTCTACACAGCTCCCATTATTCAGCTGATGCCATTTAAGAGCTATTTGGACAGTAAGACAGATATTCTTGCAATACAATGATTCAAGACTTTACTGACTCAGACCAAAAATATGGCAAAAAGTTTTGATTGTAAAACTGTGACTTATTAGACATGTGGACAAACGTTTCATGTTCAGTGCTGTTTTGGTGACTCTGATATGTTTTAAAGTCCCAAATTTGGTCTAATCTTTCCAAAATGAGTTGGAGTCTTGGTTTATTTAAATGCAACGAAGCAGCTTTGCCCAGTTAAGCTGTGCCGCCCGGTTCCATTTGTAGAGAAGAGGCCTTCCACTAGCTATCACTTCCAATTAGCCATTATTGTTGTGTGTTCTCTTACTCAGACTTCCATGAACTTTAACAAGTAAGACGCTAACAGAGGCCTGTGGAGTCGGGTACTCTGTTTTTTTTCTACTGAAACACCTAACTGGAAGATATTCACTTTGAATGCTTCCGACCTGTGAATAAACTTTCTGAAAACTGTCTTATAACATGTTTTGCTTACTTCTTATTTAGTCAATAATGAAATGTTGTAAAATGACATGCACCATTGCCCTGCCTGGCTCAGATGATATATTTACTTCATTTTAAGACCTGCAATGTACCAGATTACTTTTATATGACATTCTGATAAATAAACCCATACAACTGAGGGAAACTACTTTTCTTACATGACTGAACATAGTGGTAATGTCAAGGAATTTGATAGGATTTTAATTTGATTTGGTCCAGTATAGTTTTGTGATTACACCCAGATATCAATACAACTGTTTTGTAGGAGGAGGTCAAACCTTTAAAAAAAAAAGAACAGCCTAATAGTATAAGTGAATGCAACATTATGGCATTAATCATCCTCAGAAGTGCCAGGCTTTGTTTTCAATTTTATTTGTACAGTAATGGTGTGGAATATTATCCAGTAATATATGTATATAAATGATCTTAGATATCATTGTAAAAGCTCTTTACACTCTAACTGAATGCACCTCAAACTCAGATTCTATATATGCAATTATGAGGTAGACATTATGGAATTTTCCACCCTCTGCAAAATGTTGAAGACACCTTAAATTACTCTCATCAGCATAAGAAATATATGATTATCATGGAACTCTGTACATCACAAATAATAAAATAATTATAGAATAGAAATTATACCGATTTGAGTGCATCTGTATATTTACAAAGAAATGCTGTTTGCTCATTTCTTCATTTGTTGCACTTTGTAAAGTTTTCCACTGTACAAATATTTACAGCTAAGAAAAATAAGAGATAAAAACAAATAATGAACAGCAGTGCATTCAAAGATAATGTGCATTTAAATATCGTCTCGTGTGCGAGTCTTTCGTTTTGTTAGTTTTTTTCTTATATTTTCGTCATCAGAGAAGACAAACTCTGGCTGGCTACAGCTGTCCGCGGCGCAGTCAGTTGTAGAAGTGCATTTTGTAAGGATGCAGACGTTACAGCACAAAAAAAAAAAAACTATCCAAGTTCGCCTCAGTCATTTGTGCTTTCTTTCTTATCGTTTACACAACCGGGCCCATGGTCTCCAGTGAGGAAAAAACAATCTCTTAAAGGCATTACCACCACCATCTTATCTCCTTTCCTCAGACCAGTCTGTGTTTGTGTTTGGTTTGTTAGACATTCACCCCGTTTTCTTTCCTAATTTATCTTTTTTTGTTGTTGTTGTGGAGAGCAACGACTCCAGCTGGACAGCGGCCATTGCGGCCTGGATGCACATGCCCGAAAAGAGTTTCGGCCCTGGATCAGACGGGAGGGGCCGCACACAAAGCGCATGCTGACCGGTATACAGAGCCTCCTCCGGCCCGCGGCACGAACAGGTGCGCGCGCGCGCTCTGACCGGGGCTCCCGTCCGTCCGGGCCCTGCGGTCACCTCACACGCCGTGTTTTCTCGTGGACGGACAGCGAACGTGCTGAACACTTTTTAAGGCAGGATGTGTGAACGAACGCGACTGAATAAATAGAAGATGGTATCTCTCTTGCGTGTGCATCCCTTTTTTTGACAAAGAACAGAAAAAGAAAATGCGTGGCGCAGTCGCGCGTAAAAAAAGCGCGTCGGAACCAAATGAGGACGTCAAGCCTGGGGAGCCATCGGGACGCAAATCTTATCAATGTCTACCATGGGAAAGTCTGTTTCTGAAAAGTGTCCGCTACCTGCACCCGCACTGCTCCACCACCATGTCCTCGTACTGTTTGTACACCACGTTGTTTCCCGAGTCTATGTAGAGGATGCTGATGGGGCTGAGTTTGGTGGGCACGCAGCAGCTCGGCGGGGTGCTGTTGGGGTCCATGGAGTTCATGAGCGTCTGTATGATGGCGTGGTTGGTCGGCTCGAGGTGCGACCTCAGGGGGAAGTCGCACACCCCCTCGCAGTGGTACGCCTCGTAATCCAGGGGCGCGATGATCCAGTCGTCCCAGCCCAGCTTTTTGAAATTGACGTGCAGCGCCTTTTTGCTGCACCTGGACTTGGACTTCTTCCCGTGCCTCTTCCCGTGACGGTTGCTCAGCGCCGTCCTCCGCCGCCGCCGCGGCCCCTCTCCCTTGCCCCGCTTGGCGTGGGGCCCCCCGTCCTCTTCCGGGGCCCTCGCCCCCCCCGCCTCCTTCTCGCCGCGCGACCGGATCTTCTCCTTCATCTCGTTGAACAGGTTCTCCCTCTTCTTGGAGCGGGTGTAGGCCACCAGGATGGCTTTCTCCTGCTGACCCCGGCCGCTCCTGTCCAGCCCCAGCGGCCGCAGGTCCACTTCCGCCTCGGACTTCCCAAAAGTCGCCCTGAGCTGGACGCAGAGGTGGCCGCTCTGGTGGTGATGCCGGTGCGCCTTAAACATCTCCCACACGTCGAAAACCTCCCAGCCCGGTTTGGCGGAGTCCAGCGGGTCCAGAGACCTGGTGTCCAGCGCCCTGTCCGAGCGGCAGGGGTACAGCTGGACCTCGTACGGGCCCGCCGTCTGCAAATCCCCCGGCGCTCTCCTGAAGATTCGTAATTCCGCCCCAACCAGTTCCTCTTTCTCTGAAAGGGTCGACACATCAAACAGATACTTTTGTCGTCTCAGAGGAGAGTGCAAAAGATTGTCTGCAAGGATAAAAGAAGAAAATAATTGCAGTCAGATTCATTTAGGATGTACAGTGTTCAGACAGAGGGGTGGGGTGGGGGTTGAGGGGGTGGGGTGGGGTGGGGTGGGGGGGGGCTCACATTCTCCCATAGAGGCCTTCTCTCTCTTTCTTGTTTTCCAAACGTCCCTTAACCTGCCTGAAACAAACTATAGCTGACAAGAGCTCCTTTTTGGAGAAGAAGGAGAAAATCTCACCGATGACCATGACTGCGCTGCTTTCCAGTTACGCATTTAAACCGCCCTAAACAGCAAAGTGCTTTTCTAAGGCGGAGGTTAAGACCAGAAAGCCCTTTTTTAAAGTTCTCCAAACGAGACTCGGGCTCGTGAATTTGATGTCCTTCTTAATAGCATCGCGATTTGAGTTTCATGGATCTTGTATAGGCACAAACTCGTTATTATCACTGGAAGGCTTTCCTCCCTCCAAACGCCTGTCAAATCGGAACTATTTCAAAGTTTCACCGATAACTGTTGCCAATTAGGCTTTTACGCACTTTTACGCATTTTACGCACCTATTTAATAATTTAGTAGCAATACATTATTTATCTGTGCAGATCTATCTGTTGCATTTTGTAAAACCAAAGCACTCTTAATTCCAAACAGCAAAGAGGACATCGCGTTTTTTCGTTATTAGAACACATGCAGACCTCTAGAGCAAAAGGAGAAAAAAATGAAAGAAAGAAGGGAAAACATTAATAAGAAGGGGCCTAGTGGAGTGAAGGATCCTGGGTGCTGCCAGACACAACGGACCAAAGGCGACATACTGTACACTCAACTGAACAATACACAATTAATGCATTATTCCCCCACAGGAGGCCTGCGGATGTTTTATCAGGCTGAACCAATGAGGCTGGAATCTAACACTGACAGACAGCCTGAATAGAAGCTGCAATGCTTTCTGACATATTAAATTCGTGTCTTTCACTAATTCAGGTTGGGTAGGGAAAAAAGGAAATGCATTAAATCAAATGATTAGTAAAGCATATCCATTTTTCTTTCCATTTACATTTAACTTTTGATTTTCTTTTAATAATCAAATGATTATAGATAAATGCGCAGGTTTAATGTGCTGTGACAAATTTCCTCCAAAATGGAACTTTTGAGTGGAAAATTAAGGGGCAAAACCATTGAGAAAGAAATCTGATTGTAAATCTTTTTAAAGTGTTTTTAGGATGAATATCTGGGCTGAACTATCACATTTGAAATATGTCAGATTTCCCCTCACATGTATAAACGGATATAGATAGTCGTGTTTCTTTTTTTTTTTAAGAAACATCTGAGTAATGGTGATTTGTGTTCCATGTTTCCACTGAAAAGCAGCATCGCCTGTTTGTCTCCGCTCCCGTTTGGACCCCTGTTTCAAATAAAGTGACATTTCTCTACATGGAAACACCCCTGTGACATAATTTGTAAAAAGTCGCTCTCCCTAGACATTTTTTTTTTAAAGTCTGGGCTGTCAGGTTGCCTCTCTGAACCTTGCCAAGACGAGCAGTAAAAAAGGAGATGGAAACCTGGTGCTCTTTTCAGCGACTTTGCGCGTCTGGTTCGCATTAGTTTTCTTTTATAAGCCCTCAAACAAATCGAATACAAGTTCGCCAAATAATTAACAGCTCTCAACTCCCATCCTCCTCATTAAAGCACTTCCCCTCTTAGATTTCATCTCATCCTGCCAACGACAACATTCCGCTTTAAACGAACGCGGCTGCGCGGACTGACTGACTGAGTTATTGAGTTATTTGTGTTGACAGTCTTCTTGTACTTTTAAGCGCAACGTTTTCTTAATTATTTTTACAAAAAGCCGTATTTCCCATAATGCTCAAGATGCCTGACGGTGGATAATTGGGGCAAAAGTATGCCGGGTTAAGTTGACTGAAAGCGACAGTTTTCTTTAAACTTGTTTGTTTCTTATTTAAAAACAGAAAGCATATTTTTGATCATTTTATGTAAATTAATTTAGCAAGATTTGGAAGTTAGGCGCGCCATACGCGTAACAATGCGTCACTCCAAATTTAATATTATTTTTTTCTCTTTTCCGATTATATATATATATACTTAATAATATATATATTATTAAGTATATATATATTAGTTTCTTCTCCTATATATATATATATATATGTATATATATATATTATATGAGATGCGTGAAAGTTTATGTGGCCACGAACTTTTAGTTAAAGCCGCCTGAGTGCGTAATTCGCGCACAAAATCGCAAAAAGCCGCTACTTTGGCCGTTACATTTACATCCCACTCCTTTAAAACCTCAAGATGACGTTCGATTTGCAGGTTGTCATGCAACGCCAAGTGTCGAGGGATGCTTTGGGGACAAAAGAAGTCCGATGTGCTAAAAGAGGAGCACGTATATTCCATAATAAAACGACGCTCGCAAAGAGAAGCTCCGCAGAATGGAAATGAATAAATAAAACCGAAAATACAAACCACTTCACAGAGGAGGAAGTGCTCTATCTTTTTTTTTTTTCCTTTTCGCTCCCTCATCGTCTTGTTTTTTGGTGATGCGCCCACTGTGGCCGAGCTGGGTCATTATGGGAGAATAGACAGTGTTTGATATGTTATGACATGAACACTCAATTAGATCACCGAGTTCAAATACTCCAGTCAGCCGTTCGATGCCAAGCAGCTCTCAGAAGGGTCCAACTCGGGGTCAGAGCCAGTGACACATCACATCAAAATCACAGGAGAGAGGGAGGCGTTTTTTTTCCCAATCAAACCGGCTCACACTGCAAGAAATGACAACACGAAGGAGCCTTTTAACCTCACATAACGTTTTTCTTGCTTTAAAACGTTCAATCATGTTGTTTTTAGTGTTTTCAAAAAGGAATCTTATGTCTAAAAAGTTGGCCCAATTTTATTCCAAGGACAAAATAATTAATCGTGCGAGAACTACTCATTTTTGCATGTAATCGCTATAAATTTGGGATGTTTTCACACATGCACCTCGTTGTTAGTGAGATGATGAAGGTGCCTCAGCGGACTGACAAAAACAAAAAAAACAGGAGCCGACATTTTTTGCAGCGCGCCATCTGCGTCCATGAGCCGGGGCTCGGAGTGTTTCAGACAGGAGGGGAACGCAAACAAAGATTGCTTTTATTTCTCTCTCAAAGATTAACTCGGCCTGCGTCCCTCTTTGTGGGCGCTGGACGTGTTTGTGTTCATCAGATTGTGTTTGTTCTTCGCAGTCCGGCCGAATCACTTGGTTACACATGTTAACTGACCCAAACACCTGCTTCTCACACCGGTCCGCTCTGCCCCCCAGTCTCCCCTTTGTCAGCACAAGCTGGCCCAAGTGGGCTCAACCATCATGGCAACAGACTGAACGTTGTAAAGAAGTGGTGGATTTTCGGGGGGTTTTGCGCCTGTTTAGATTTTAAACGCTCAGTCTGAGTTGTGCGTAAAAACACGAAAACCGAAAATGAAACAACCATCATGCGCTTTCTCAAAGGGAAAAAAAAAAGTTTCCTCTATTCACGTGGAGGCGTGGGCAGTGTAGTTTTTTTGCGGCTACCCGCACTGACAGTGATTTACAGTCTTCATTTCGAGAGCGCCTCAATTAGTGTTTTATTGTCGTGTAACCGTGAGGTTAATTTAAGTGTAATACTTTGGAGACCAGGCTCCGTGTTCCGGTGAGTGTGGCCAAACGCATCAATCTAACCACGATTAAGACCTAACCTTGCAATTTCAACATATTTCTTTCACCCCTGCTTATGATTTCATCAGATTTTGAGCGCGTAAATGCGGACCCCTCGAGGTCCGTTTCTGTTTTTGGCCCCTTATCTGTGTGCGTAAAAGTAATCCATCCCAGTGCATTGTTCAAACGTTCCGTCAAATCTAAGATGAGAACATCAGGCAAGCCCATTCAAATTGGGGAAAAAACAGTGCAACTAAATAATGAAGGACTGCGGCGGGGGGGGGGGGGGGGGATGGCAGCAGACCGAAACCAACCTGTTCCTCGGTCCACAAAGCTCGTTATGGTGTTGGCGGACTTGGACGAGCGAAAAAAGCTCGCGTTTAGTCCGAGCTTCTCTGCGGTGGAGTACGTCCTGTATATGGAGAGCATGTACTCGTGCGGAACAATAGCGTCCTTTGGGTCCTCTTTGTGATGTCCCGCGACTGGGTGCGAGGACGCCAAGATGTCTTTTAAGAATTTGGGTGACCTTTGTCCGTCCTGGTTAGAGATCCTGACTTCCCGGTTCCTCCGGGGCGCAGAGGGAGAGATGAGAGCGGCGGACCGAAAACAAGGTAAATTCCCAAACAAAACGAGGAGAAGGCCTAGATATATCGTCACGCCTCGAGATGCGTCCATGGCTGGGAGATGAAAAGAAGCTCTTGGAGGTTTTTTTTCTTAGTTTTTTTTCTTTTTCTTTTCTCGGTTGAAGCTGTGTTTTGGGGGGTTCCGCGGGAGCCTGAGATGGTGAAAGCGCGTCAGGATTCGGAGAGCAGCTCTACTTTTGCGCTCCCCCGGTCGCACTAGAAGAAGTGCGTTTTTTTTTTTTTTTGCTCTGGACTCCACACAAGAGCAGAAACACGCCCACACGGCGGCTCGGTGCAGGGCTTCCCAAACAAATTTCGTGTCACAGACCCTCTGAACGGAGGCGCGCATGCAGCAAGCCAACGGGCCGTCGCAGACAGAAAAGACAAGTCAAGAGTGGCCAAGTTTGTGTCTAGCCCTCGCATCTGCACGCGCGCACGGTCCCACGCGCGCGCGCACGCACGCACGCACGGAGACTCATTCCTTTCGTCTGCCTGACGAAATCTCTGTAATGTCATTTTTATGACTCCCACAGTGAAATCAAACCTTCGCATGCATGTTGTCCTCTTTAAGAAGAAGCCGGTTTAACTGAAAATACAGGTGTTAACAATAATCTAATGTTTACCACGCTGCTGTAATTTGGCAAAAATCCAAACATGTTTGAGAAAACCCAGTGATAGCTCGTACTTCTTTATCACAGAGCCTCTGATCGCCTCAAAAATCCAAGAAGATTATATTTTACGCGCAGATGAAGGAGCCTCTGTCTACAAGAAATTGAGCACACTTCAAAGAAATGTGCCTATAAAAGGACTATGGTCGTGTACATAAGCACTTTAAACGGTTTAACAGATAGCAAATATTGTAATAAATATTATTATTTCTGTAAACAAGAATTGAAGTTAAAAAAAAGAGAACTATTCTTTTTTTTTTCCCATGTTGTTAACATTAACATGATAAGTAAACATCTTGAGATCCTTAAGGAGCAAATCCTTAATTATAGAAATCAGAATAGGGTACATTTTATTTAGAGGTCTACTTTTATTGAACCTTCATTGACGAATCCGAAGTCACCGGTAGACATTAGTCACGTTTTGAAAGACGATAGCGGCCTCTAGTGGACATTATTCTCTATTACAAGAGAAGAAAACGACATCCCCGCTGGTGGAAGTCAGTCAATTAGAAATGGTGCATTTAGGACACCTGGGAAATACAAACGTTGTCGACGAGACAGATTTAGTTTAGCCTAATTTGAATTTCAAAGCCATGTTCAACTCCAAGTGCTTCACACTGCAATCGAAAAGCATGAAAAGACACATATGTGGCCATTTAAACAAATATGCATTGACAACATTTACATATCAAAATAAAGGAAATATTAATACAAATTAATCAAGAGGAAAATAAATTCAAAATTGCAGCAAGTAAAAACAAAAAGGTCAGTTTGACAGTTATAGACTATATTTCTAAGAGGTGAAATTGAACCAACATAAACCTGATGTTGGAAATCTGCACTCAGTGGCCAGAATTCTGAAAGTTCTGCTGCTAATTCCAGTCTTAGGCATACTCAGAACAGCAGGCCTCCACTCCGGAAGTGAAGAGTTCTTCTAAGCAAAAGTGAACGACATTAGATATTAGACTGGGCTTCTGAAAATATTCTAAATGTTGGATGAAGTCAATGTAGAGAGGCTAACAGTGGAAATGGGAGTTCTGTATTAATTGATTTAGATAATATTACGAAAATATTACGAAAGTGTGAATTAAAAGTTCTATCTATAAAAAAAGAACTGCTCCAAAATTCTTCGTCATGGAATTTGACGTCAAAGGAAGGCCATCCAGGATCACAGCCTGGTTGTACAGAAACTTTAGGAGTAAAAACAACAGAGGGATTTTGTATTAATACATCCTTCCATCCATTATACCTCTTTTTCATGTAGGGTTTGGATCCTCGAGCCAATCTCAGCGGATCTCGGCGAGTCTGGGTGCACCACGGTCAGGTCGCCAGTCCATCACGGGTCCACACCCACTCACATTCACTCTTATCTGTGATTTAGAATCCTTAATTAAACTAACACGCATGCTTTTAAAAAAAAATTCCGTCAGGAAGTCAGAGGACCAGGAGTGAACCCACACAAACACGGGGAAAAACTCCACACAGAAACGTCTCCAGCTGTTCCGGGAACACTCACTCTGTGAGGCAACAGTTCTCCCACACCAACGTGCGGCCATTAGTGGATACAGCCAGTGGAAAATTCTAATCCCTCGCGTCTCCAAGACAAGCCAATAACTCTGCTAAGGTATTTGTTTGCCCTGGCTGTGTAGAGCTGGGTGTCATCAACTTATGAACCTGCGACTTATGATCCAAAGGTGTAAGAGGACAACAAACTTATATTATGTCCACATTTTTTTGTAAACATGCTGTATTTGGCTTTTAATTCACAGGTGTAACAGTGAGAAGTTATCATTTAAAAAGGTGTAGGCTGCCATACCAGGAAAAAAAAAGTAATCAAACAGTGTTATTAAATTAAATATTTTTGAACTAGTGTGGGTGGTTAAGCAGCAATTGTGTAGTTTAAAGCCCAAACACAAAAAGCAGGAAAATGTGTGTCATGTGTCCTGACTACTTCACCAAAGAGAAGCAGGCAGTGCCGCTTCATTGTTCAACAGGTAGTAGTTGTTCTAATGCTTTAAAACAAAAAAGTGCCATGTGTACCACTCAAAAGCAACAAATGCTTAGAATTAGACAGAAACTAATGCGTACAAATCATTCATTAAAAATCACGACTTCACTCAAATGACTTGGAGTTATAACAGATTAGTTTGTTAATGGACTGTTCAACATGACACGAAAGTGATTGTGTTTTCAACATGGTATTTTCACATCTTTGGAAGAAAAAAAACTATTATAATTATAACAAAAAGAGAGACAGCCCTGCGATGGACTGGTGGACCGTCCAGTTACCCTGCCTCTCACCCACTGACCACTGGGATAGACTCCAGACACCCCCACGAGCCCATTAGGGAATAAGCGGTACAAAAAATGGATGGATGGATGGATGGATGGATGGATGGAATAGTGAGACTTGATTCAGAAAACAGCACTGTGTCCAGAAAGCTGCTGTCAGAGTTCTTACCAACACCAACAAAGTTGAGTACTCCACTTCTTTTGAATAACAGCATAAAGGTTTGAACATAAAATCGATCAAAAGAGCATTTGATGTTTGTAATTTACTTATATATAGACCCTTCGGGTTATGTGGGTCTAATTACTTGGTGTTTATTGCAGAAAAATAAGACATTTGAAGCATTTCCTTTTTTTTTGGGGGGGGGGGCGGCTTTTGTGTACACCACACTCACACACATCTGTTGACCAATCTTCATCATCACCTTAGGCCTGTTTAGACTTATAGCTTAAAAAGTAAAAGTTTAATACATCCCAGTTACCTGTTTTAATGCAATTAGTTGCTTGTGTGTTGTATTTTTCTTCTAAAGGTGCACTCTGTGTCAATTTTCTGCTTTTTTTTTATTATGGTTATGCTGTTATTCTCCAATTCTATAGCAATAGTTTTGATCAATGCTTTTTCTGAGCACACTCTGTGAACTCCACTGAATGTGACTTTGAATAGAATCAGCCTTGGCTCTCCTCTTGTTCTGCTGATGGGCTGCTGGTGGCGGTAAAGGACCACGGAGGACGGGGAGTGGATGACGAGGAGGAATACAAGTCGACAATAACACAATCACGAATAACGAGTTGTTTTCAAGGTCTATTTTCACGACACTTTGTTTACTTCTATTTAGAATCCACAGCATGCACAGTCATGGTTAATGCATGGACAGAATGGAACTGAGATAAAGTCTGCTGTGTATTTTTGTATTTTTGCTTGTTTGTCGGTGCTCGGGTGTTAGTCTGTGTCGGCAGCACACACTGTGCTTCTCAGATCTGTGGAAAGAGCCTGTAAATATCCAAGAAATAAACGGCACTGAACGGCAAGCTCCGGATTTGGAGCCGCCCTGATTTCAGCACCATGGAGAGCCCACATCCCCTCTGAGAGGGAGTCAGAATGGGTTTTCCGTCACGTTTGAGCTGAACACGGCAGATCTCCATCCCCTTCTCAAATATTTCAAATTGGGTCAGTGACGGTCACTTGGCATTTTCACAATTTTTCTACACAATTTTTTTATCCTTTCCTAACCTGAAAACAAAAAGGTATGTGGATACATCCTAATGCTCCACGCCTTTCCATCACTTTATTTGGTGCGCACTCCCATATGGTGGAGGGGGCTTCAGGGGTTAACAAGACGTCCCGCGCGTTATGTAACGCGCTCTGGATGACGGGCACGCTCGCGTGCGCGTTGGTGTTGTTTTCTCGTCCTGTGGTGTGCGTCGTCAGTCTGCACTCAGCACATCCTCACAGCGGAGTGGAGGCTGGCACCAGCAGCGCAGCAGCCTTTGTGCCTCATCCCCTCTGGAACATCGACATCAGACATCAGGTATGGTTATCTCTGGATTATCATATATTTTGTTTTGGTTTTTGTTTTTTTTGTTTTTTTAGGGGGGGGCGACAATCTCCCAGACAAAGACAGACAAAAAAAAGGGAGTGAAACAGTTCTGGGGAAAGGAGATGTTTACAAGTTGAGGAGTGGGCTCTCATTTTATTTGTAGATTCTTTAAACAGAGCAGTAATTCACATGTTTTGGATGTGAAATCTCAGTTGGGTGTTTACAGGCTGGTGTCTTACATCTATTCATTTTATTTGATCTATTTCTATCTTGTTGTCTGGATGGATCTCCTAGCCCGAGGACGGCATTCCTTTTTTAGGGGGGATAAAAAAACAAAAAAAACATACGATGTATACTTTGGACATCATTTAAAAAAAAAATCCTTAATAAGGTGTCTCATTGCCTTGGTGTAATTTACTGGATGTATCTTTTCTTAAGACTCCATAACACTGAATAAAATGGCTGTGAGGTGGAGACATAAACAAAGGGAGGCATGTAAACACACCAGAGGGCATCTCCTTGGATTCTTCAGTGGGACAATGTGCTCTGAACATAATTCATTGGTTTTTTATAAAGTAATTTAATCTAAATTAACAGATTGACAAGTAAAACCGCAGTGAATGACTCATAAGACTTATTAGAGACGTTAACTCTGGTTTTCTGCTGGAAAACATGACATGATATGTGATATTTTCAATCTAAACACACTTAGGTGAGATGCTTTCTCTTTCTATATGAGAAAAGTTAGTTTAAAAGAGCTTTATACTTAAAATCTTGTGGCCACCTTTTTAGCAGATGAAGGTAAAGAGTAAAAAATGTTTGTTTTTTTTGTATTTGGCATTCATACATACACACACAGCTAATTAGAGCCTTTCAGAATTCAAATATCTTCAACAAGCCTGTGCCTTCCCTGAAGTGATGATGATGAGGACGATGACATTTCATCAATATCCATGTAAACAGCTCATGCGCATCACAGGGTGACTGTTAAATTGAAGTAAACAGCTTCAGATGTGTGTTATAACATTATAAAACACTCACTCAAATGGATTAAGGGAATTATTATCGACGCCCACTACACGCTCTTTTAAAAGTGGACCATCTGGATGAGAGGAAGAGCTCCGGCGGAGGCTTAGGGACGTGTTTACCAGAAGCTCGCAGACAGCTTTAGCAGGACCTCCCATTTCGGTGCATCTTCTGCACAGGCCAAGTCAGAGGTTACCAACGGCAACCACGCTCAGCTTTTAACTCAGCGAGAAGCCAGTCAACTCCACCTTCATCTTTCATCCCTAGCTCGAGGTTAGATTGGATGCAAGTAAAAACACACAAAAACAACTATTGGCATTTGGTCGCGGTTAAAATGAATGAGTCCAATTAACTAAAGGCAGGGAAAAGGATGCAGGCAACAATCTGTTCCAACACAGCAATGAAATGCATTTCTCTCACATTTTTCTTCTCCATGTCTAAGTACACTTCAGTCATTTTCATTTTTGGTGCCCATTTGAAGGCGGTTACATCACAACACTCTGATGTCCGCTGCCCTGAAGCAGCGTTTATAGGATGGTGGGATTAAAAGCCTCTTGGTGATGTCAGCTACATCTTGGGGACCAGTCAATGAGGACCATGAATGCCTCTTCCATGGGTCCCTCCCCTCTTTCAACACTTTTCTCCAAAATAAACACACATCTCACCATCTACTTTAAAATCTTGTTCATGTCATATCGTGTATTCTCAAGTACTGGATGGATTTTGGTTTTAAATTCAACCTTAAACCGCACCCATCACCGCAAATAGAAGCAAACGCCCGTGCAGATTGAGGAGAATAGGCTTTTAACACCCCCAACTCTATCTCAGCCCATTCAGATATCTTCTCAGAGAAGGAAAGCAATCTTAAAACGGGCAACAGATGCCGCAGGTTTAAACGTAACTGCTTCTAACCAGCTCAAATCGTCGGCGCAGCTTTTTTTCCCCCCTCGGTTGCTATGAGTGTTGCTAGGGCACTGCCGCGGTTGCTCGGCCTTGGTGCATATAATCTGATTCTTCCATGTCAGTGTGCCACCCTGGTGTGCACTGCCATAACATCGTGCTTACTGCGGATGTCTGACAAAAGGAAAAAATCAAACTGTGAGAAAAGGTGGCACAGGCCGCCCAGGAGGCAAATCTAGTTTTGGAAATGAGGTGGAGTTTGATTCCCCTGACTCTTTGACTCTATTCGCGTAATGCCCTTTGGGCCTTAGTGGTTTAAAAAATAGGATGGGGAACTTGTATTATTAGAGCATGAGATGGTGACGTCAGTCTGATATCATTAGAGGATTGTTTAGAGGACTCTGAGTGATCAAAGTAGGACTTGAGTCATTGGAGCTGAAACGTGAAATGTAAAGAGACTGCTGGATGTGGTGAAAGACAGGCTGACACTCATTGACGTAACAGTAACAGCAGGCTCCAGGGTGGGTGACATCATTACAACAAGAAAAAGAAGGGGAAAAAAAGAAAAACATGTAGGCTCTTATGCAACTGTGCCCTTTGGGCAACCAACAAGACAAAGTGAAGATATTGTTTAGTGCCTTCATCCGAGCATGAGAGAAGATCTGCATTATTTAGCTTTGAAGCATCAATAAAAAATGTTTCTTTTTTTAAATGTGCATGAACAAAAAAGAAGTGCCGAACTACTTTGCTTCTGTCTAAAATCGTTTTAAAAGAAAGGATATCACTGCCACTTGTCCACTGTCAGCTGGGATGGGCTCCAGCCCCCCAAAGTGGAGATAATGGATGAATTGATACCACTGCATCATCCTATCACTTGCTGATTGAGACACTTTGTTCCTCTGGCAGGCAGCCAAACAGTTTTGGCACAAGTGTTTAAGAGCTGGAGTTTGGATGCTCTGACCCTCATTTTGTTTTGATGACGCACAAACAAAGAGATAATATCATGCATCCTTTTTATATGTTCATTATATGACGTTATTCAGAATTACTATATTTTTTCATCATATCTCTCTAAAAATATCTCTGATATATATATCTAATATATGTATTAAATATATAAGTATTTAAACTCAAAGAGCTGATTTGCTCTTTTTGAATCAAGCAAATTTGCTCTTTGATTTTCCTTATGTCAACTCTTTTGGTGCAGGTTAAAAAATGTTAACCTTTTCAGGATGAAGTTAGTTGAATTTTTTCACAGATATTTAAGGTCCCCAAGAACTGAATTTTTCTAACTTTGGAGAACTGAACTTTTCTCCCTGGAATTTTAAACAGGGTAAAATAGGTCATTATGACTTTGATGATTTGCCAAATCCAAGCCCTCTGAATCCTTAATCCTTTTCGTCACCCATCCAAAACTCCCCTTGGTTGCGCCATCTAGGTTTTAAACCATAGTTTTGTTTTGTTTCTCTTTTTCAGAAGGATTCCAAGAGATTCTGTAATGGATTCCTTGAATTTGATGTAAAGCTTTTTATATTAGTGTCATATTCTTTGAATACATTTTGTTCCCATGACTTTCCATGTAGAGCTTTGTGGACATTTGTGGGTATGAGGTAGTTTATTTTCAAGGTATTGTCATTTACAATCAGTCACAGCTGCTCATCAGTGAATATCAGCACACCAACAGGCTACATAGAAATTTAAAAAATGAATGTGTTACCATTTGTTACCATAAGGTAGAATAATCCAATGGTGTATGTAGGCACTGTGACCCTGACATTTATTTAAAATCTTTCATCTCTGTCATGTATTTCATGCTTTTTTTCTTTGACTTTTGCTGAGTTAAAGGTTGTTGGGTGTTTATTTTTAACATCTTTGCTTATTTTGTGAGGTCAAAAATTCTGTGTGTGTTGGTCATGGCTGGCTCCAGGCTTGTGCCATCTGTTCCGGGCAGGTTGTGTGTGTGTGTCTGTGGGTGGGTGTCTGTATGTGTATATGTTAGTAGGATAAAGTGATGTTGCAGAATTCAAACCAATGTCTCTTTTTGTTAAGTATCAGGCACTCATCATTTGTTGTCTTTTCTATTTGTTTACATAGCACAATGGGACCATTCCAAGAATATGAGGTATGTCCAATCATTGCTTTACTCACCAGGAGATTGATTTCTGAATGACAGTAACTCATTATTTGTTCGTTTTTATTAATTAATTTTAGCTATATATATGTATATAGTCAATTTTAAGTGAAGTTTGGTTAGATTTCTTGGCACAATCGCTTAATGTGGCAAATGTTTAAATAGGAAAAGAAATCCCCGGAGAAAGGGAGCCCCCGAAGCCGCATCCCACGTCTGGTGCTTCATCCTTTCCCACCCAAGGACAAGGGATCGCCTCTGTCTGACTCCCCGTTCTCAGAGGAGGAGGGCAAGGAGTGTGACGTCAGCTCTGACCACTCCAAGAGAACCATCAGCACCAACAGCTTTTGCTCTGGTAAGAAGTTCATCCCGAGTTCAGTCATAAATCGGTATGCTATATTAGTGAATCTCCTGCTACAGTTTTTCAAATCCTTGATCAAAAATGACGAAGTGCCCTTTCTAATTCAAATTTATATTTGAACCAACCTAAACTGACAACTTTATGTAAACCCCATAAAGCTTTAATCAACCTGCACCTTTTGTGGGCTGTCAGATTTTATTATAGTGACTATAGTTGGCTTGTAAATATTTCAGCAAGGGTTATGCAAGCTCAAACACATGTTGTACCCATGCTTTTTTTGTATAAATATATATATATATATCCACCCGCGGCTTCATCTAACAAATAGAGCAAACACAACTAAAAAAAAAGGGCCTGTGTTAGCAGAGGTGACGAGACATTGTGCAAGCTGCTGTGCTATCTGACAGAAAACAACCCGGACTGAACCTTGAGCTCTGATCGACTGCTTGTGTTGGCTGTCTGCTCTGGGCTATTACCTTCTATATGCCTGTCTGCAATAGATGACACCGGCTGCCCCACTAGTCAGTCTGTGTCCCCCTCCAAAACCCCGTCAGGCTCGGAGCAGAGCGCCCAGGGATCGCCGGTGCTCCCCGAGCGCAAAGCCAAAGTCAAGAGGGTGCGGGTGGCGGCCGAGTGGAGCGGCGAACCGAGGAGCACGCCGAGGCACAAGAGGGAGCTGAGGTCGGCCATGAAAGCCAGAGGTAAAGACGGGCTGGAAAACACACTTTTTGTATTACAATACGATACAGCAGTGCAGTGCTGTTTTTAAAATGATTTTTGTACAACTCATTGTATAGAAACCATCGTTCAAGGTCCCTAAAGAACAGAACGAATGTATATTTTACATGTGTATTTGTTTTATGTCAGCCAATAGAACCCCAGCCATGAACAACACAAGCTAATCCCCAAAAAGACTAGAATCATTCGTCATTTGTCCATCTGTGTTGAGATCTGTCATAAACAGGGGGCACTCTTTTCCTCCAAATTAAACTTCCTGCCTGTTTTGATCAAGTTGAAGCAGAAACAAGAGTTTGAAGTTGGGGGAGACTTCTGATTGGTTGTGTGGAAATGTTTGGGAGTTTAGCCAATTAGTCTGATTAGGAGGAAGTTACAACACACACCGAGTGTGTGCAGAGCCTCAGTTAACCCACCAGATCACAAAGTGTTGAGTTGTTTTGTTTGTCACTGTCATCACTGGACACTATGGTGTTGTTTGATGGGAAAAGGTGTTTCTCAGGTATGGCTTGAGTATCTAAATCCTTTCAGGCCAAGATTTTAGCGATCATGGCTTCCAGTTGTAAATCAATTCCTTAAATGAAGCTCTTAAATGATAAGAGCTTCTCGTTTGTAGACATTTGTGTTATCTCACCATTTTGACAACTCCAAAGAATCGCTCAAAGTCCGCCGGCATGCTAATGCATCTGCAGGTAGTGAGGCGGACTTCAGCTCCTCCAGCAGCACAAGCAGCCTGAAGACCCGGGAGGGCCTTGCCTCTGGTTCAGTTGGGAAGAAAACTCCTTCACGCAGGTACAGGGACCCGTTTTCGGGTTTTTGGTTTTCTCATAGAACGCTTTGAGTCGTCGTCGTGAAATACAAACTTTCTTTTTTTTTGTTTTTATTTCTAAAGCCGTGCTGCTCACATCCGACCACTTCCAGTGTTCAAACCAGCCGGGAGCCTGGCAGCCAATCGGGATGCAGAGCTCTACGCTCCCTTCAGGACTCCGCCCAGAGCTGCCTCTTCAACCACCAACAGCAGCAGCTGCAACTCCAGCCCCACTTCTAGGTACCAGTCACTAAATTCCTTCTGTGTGTCCGTCTATAACCTGAACATTCTGATTTGACTATGCCTTTTTTTTCCTTTTTTGATGGGGAAAAGCAGGTTGATTTGGAAACTGAGATTTGGGTCAGACAGGAAGCATCCCTACCAAATGAGTGGGTGGCTGGATTAAGCTCAGACACTCATCATTTCCCCCTCTTGCAGCTGACTGGGATTATATCTGTCATGATTTAGCTGCATCTGGGATTAACGAGGATTTCATAGAGCAAATGTTGGAATAAACTACCCAGACAGTCATCCCGCTGAGGGAAGCTGGTACGAAATTTTAGTGCGTGCATCTTGGTGCATTATTTAGGAAAAAGGGGTCCGTTTAGAAATCGCTCAATGCACAATTCAAAATGGTTCAAGACTCATTTGATTTCCTATAATTGGGCTTCATGGCTTGCATGTTGCTTCAAAGGTTTAACCTAAAAATCCTTTCTCAGATGTTTCCCCTCTTAGGTTTTTTGTGTACGATCCACCATGTTTATCGCTTGTTCGCAGGTTCCGTAAAAGCCGTTTAATCCTCAAATGCTGTCTCTTTAAGGCACCCCGTTTGTCAGATCTCGCCATTCTGGCTAAGTGTCATGTGATGTCTTTTCCTCTCCCATGCTGCCTACTCCTGGGCTGTTGCTATTTCTGGCATGGATGCAGAGTGTTCGCCTCAAGTATCTCAGGCTGCTAGAATCATTGTGGAAGAGATGGGCTCCCATGCTGTTTTACATACCGTCTGTGTCCACCTACTAATCCCTTACAGGGGGAAAAATCCTTTTTATCACTTCCCTGAGCATGATAAAACACCGATCAGAGGCCATTTAAATGTGTTGCAGTCATCTGTAGACTGCTTTTTATTCCAGTAAGGGGATGCCGTTACCTGCCAATTCTGCTTCCCTCTCGATTTTGGAAGCAGCATTTTCTGCTTTAGCCGCTGTCCTGAATACCATTAATCCTGTGTCAGACAGTAATTCCAGGCTTCAGGGAGCATCTGTCCTGAAAGCACTCTACCAGCCACACTAATTACCTCGTGGAGGGAGTAGTTTTGCTTTTTAAGCTCCAATTGGTTTGTTTTTCTGCTGCTGTTCTAAAGTGTCCTGTTGAGTAATGGATAATCGGTACAAGAAAGGTAAACATTTTCATAAACCGCCATGATTGTCTCTGCTCGACAGAAGAGTGAACTTGGGCCGCTACCACTCTTGTGGGGATAACCATGGCATCAGGCCCCCGAATCCGGAGCAGTACCTCACGCCCCTGCAGCAGAAGGAAGTGTCCATCAGGCACTTGAAGATCAAACTAATGGAGTCTGAGAACAGAGTTCGTGACAGGTCAGCTGATGGTGTTTCTAACGCTTTACAACACTAAGATGGGTTCATTATGGATTTATTGGAGTGTTTGGGGTGATGGTGATGTAATATCATGATGATGTAATGCCTAATGGGCCTTAAGTGTTAAGATCTGATAAGTATAATCCAACAGGGAAATTACAGTTACATAAGACAAAAAACCCTGATATTAGATATTTTTCAAGTAACATATCCAAATAACTTTTTTTAAACCATGCACCTGAGAGAATAATTATAAACTATTCCAAATTGATTTCAAACTAGATTTCAGCTACTCATTAAACAAATCAACAACTACGATTACTTTTACTTGTTTTGACATGGTTCCTTTTGTAAGAAACTACACATTTTAATACCACGTCTCCAAGGACATAGGAAAGGCCAAACTTCAAGTCCAGTATTATATCGGTGCAATTAACCTCTGCCTCTGTCTGTGGCCACCTGAGGTTAAGCATAAAATATATATTTTATTATTGCTAAACAGGATTTTTGATCGGCTTTCTCTGACTGGATAACATTTAACTCACTGAATTTAGAGAATCAGAAAAAATTCCTATCAGAATCAACGACTTTTTGAAGCATGTTAATAATGGTTGAACTATTCATTTCAAGTAACTGGAAACTTTTCTCCTAATCTATTAGAGAAACTGAGATTGATGAGCTTAAGGCCCAACTTGGCAGAATGAGGGAGGACTGGATTGAAGAGGAATGCCACCGAGTGGAAGCTCAACTGTCCCTCAAAGAAGCCCGCAAAGAGATCAAACAGCTCCGGCAGGTGGTGGAAACCATGAAGAGCAGTCTGATGGAGAAGGACAAAGGAATTCAGAAGTACTTCATCGATATCAACATCCAAAACAGAAAGTTGGAGTCCCTTCTGCAGAGCATGGAGCTCGCCCAGAGTGGTAACATGCATGATGAGAGCTCACTGGACTTTATGTGCGACAGCCCGGATGGAAGCAGGAAGAAACTGGAGGAGGACGTGATGGAGCTGGAAGACCAGGCAGCCGAGGCAATGGCCGACAGTGGTCTGCTGGTAAACGACGAAATGGCCAACAGGGAGGATATTTTTGAGCAAGTCCTCATGTCCACGGCAGTGGACTACAGCCAGGACTCCGGTAACAGACCAGGCCCTTCAGCAGAATGTGGTCCTGAGATATCCGCTGTCACAGAGGGGCAGTCGGCTGATAAATCTACCACACACCCACCCAATTTGCCAAATGCACTTTTGACCACAGTTACCATCCCCTCAAGTACTCCTTCCCAGCAGATGTCGGATGATAAAGGGATCCAGACCGAGCCAGTGCCCATGTCTCCAGACCTGCAAGGACTTCTTCTCCAGCTGCTCAAGTTCCACGGGGCTTCACTGGAGGATGCAGCTCTATCATCCCCCAGCAGTCTCCTGGGGTTTCCGAACCTACCCCCCTCTTCTTCTACTGCCATTCATCCTGACCCGACACCACCCAAATCCAGCATCCCCCCGGGGAGCCTGGACCATTCCGCCGACTCCGGCATGTGTTGCTCGGAGCCCGCAGAGAGCCGTCGGTTCATGGAGGAGCTGGACTTTGGAGTCCACGAAGGGGAACCTGGTCTGGCTCCGGGGCTGGATGTGGTCGGCAAGCGTTACTGGAGCAGCAGCTTTCTGGTGGATCTGGTGGCGGTGGCGGCCCCGGTGTTGCCCACAATGGCCTGGCTCTACTCTCGGCACGGCGTGGACGGAAGCGCGCCGGTCTACAACATCGCCGCTCTGATCAGGGGCTGTTGCATCATGGGATTGCAGTCCCTACGCCATGTCACCAACGTACCAGATTAGAAAAAGGGGAAACGACACGCATGCGTATTCTGATATTTGAACTAAAAGCACTTGAGCATCTTAAGAATATTTATTGCAATCTTTTTTTTCCCCCCCCACCCTCAACACATGGTGATATCAATGCAGTTCTTTTACTTTTAAGCACTGTTACTTTGCACAGCACAGTTACCACGACAAAGGTGAGTGGTGACGAGATGGGGATTATTTATTCCAGGGTTTATTTATGTATTTGTAATTTACATTTGCAAGCAGATCATCTGGGTAGATGGTTATGTATTATCTTTGTTCCATAGTGTCCCGAATTGTCTTTTCTTTTTTTTAAGAAAACTTATTTATGTTGATTACTTTTCTTTTTTTTTTTTTGTCTTAAGGACTTGAGAGACCGACTGCTGCTTTCTGTTTAATGTATTTTGAAATCTTTTTGTGTCTCTGTTCAAAAAGGAACCCTAAACTTTCAGCCAAAGCTTCAGTGCGAGTTCACTGTCGGTGAATCTGTTTCCCTTCTACCCTGGGAGTAGAGCTTTACTCTGTACAGCCCGTGTGTTGTTCATAGATATTAAGTTGACGCTTCAAAGCAACCAACACTTGTTACGTGCCTGAGCGATGTGCAATACTGGTGGTTTACATCCAATGTCCTTGTATCTTTACTAATAAAGCATGATAAATCTGGACAAGTTTGGACGGAGAATGCCTTGTTTGACTTTCCCTCTTCTGGAAACTGATTCTTAGCTATGCTTATGTGCAGGTCTGCACAAAATATTGGCAACATCGACTAGATTTCTCTGCATCAGTGAATAAATAAGTTAAATGGTGGGGACTGTTTTAGTTTTAATCGGAGTTTTAAAAAACAAACTCCTTTCGTTTAAGCCTTCTTGGCTTGTTTGTCAAGCATCCCCTGGGTCATGGAGCCCACAATGAAGTGCATTATCTCCACTCTGCCGTCCCTACCCTTGTGCTAGCAAAATTAGGTCAATGCAAGCACAGCTGAAACTCAGTCCCCATAAGCTACCGATGCCTCCTGTCACATCCATCCACGCTCAAAGACGAGCAAAAGCTAACAGTTAGCCTCTGTGAGACTTCATTTCCGCAACGCCACATGGTGATCTACAGTTGTGTAACTATGACCTCCTAATTCACAGCGCATCAAAGAAATGAGTCATCAAATGCTGTAATCCCCACACCAGTCTGTGGAAGACAGATTAAACGAGTGGGTGGCAGTGATGGGGAGGCCGAGAACACATTGGTTCTGTTAAATCCACCAATGTGTCTGGACACATTCATTCTACCCCTTCCAATAACAAGAATTGTCTCTTTTTGAAAGTGGGTTACTCTCTGAGAGGTTTAACAAGCAGGAAGGTGGGAGTCAAATTATCAAAATGAATGATGAGCAAATGTTTGCTAATAGTAAAACCAATGATGTTAATTAGTCAGATTTGCAGTCAGAAGGACATAAAACAATGTGCTGAAGATGTCACGTTCTTATATTAGTATGGTAGTTCATTCTACACCCACGTGGGGCATCAGCCAGTGTATGTTCACCTCTAGAGCCACAGCTAATAGAAAAGCCAGAACCTATGGAATGTTGTTCAACTTTGAAGTTATGAATCCATGACTTTTATTAAAAACTGTTTGGGGGCTAATACAGCAGACATATTCTGTCCAATTTGAGCTTGTCTTTTTTACGTCCATGTTTATGTTCAAACACTCGCATTTTTAACATGTCAAACAGGGAAAAATGTAAGAAAAAAAACAAACATTGCTTGGTGGAATTGTCTTCCGAAGAAAATTAAAGCCTTTTTTGCCCAGAATGTAACATGTGACCTTTTAAAAAACACACAAAGATTTGACTGAATTCCCCTCAAAATAAATTGATGAGCATCTCCAGTTCATCCTTTTAACCATGCATTAATCCGCATTACATCAGCTTTAACTGAACCAGAAGCTCTGAGGAATCCAGCCAGAGACATCTCACTACTTGCAGCTTTGGAGCATTTTGAGGGTTAAGATTGCCTCCTACACCTCAGTTCCAAACATTTTTAACCAATACGTAAGTCGAATTCTTCACCAGAAATATTTCAATGAAAACACCAGGGCTGTTATCAGTGTCAGCCATGTGTAATAACTAGAGACAAAACCAGAAACTTCAATTGTAAGCATGTAATTTCAGAAGCAAGTGTTGGATAAAATAATTGGTCTGAGGTTCTGCTGCGTTGGGGATTTATAAAAACAGTTTCTGCACCCTTTGTGTATTAAGCATCTAACAGGAACCCGAAAACACTGAATTTACCAATCGGTCAATTATTTCCTTCGATATCAAAAGATGCTAGAAGATGATAATTAATGTCAGACCAGCAGCCATTAGGTTACCATAGGAACCCACAGCTAGCATTCATAGTTGGGCTGCATTAAAGTCTGTGATTAATAATGTTACCACGTTTACAAAAAGAATCTCCAGTCTTCTTTTAATGCAGATTTCCAGTGTAGTGAGGGCCACATAAAAGAGAGACGAGTGACGTGTTAAGCAATTATCATTAAGAAAAAGCTAACGCTTTTAAGATTGTGAATGACATAAATATAAAAACAAAATAAATCACCAAAGCTAAGAATGTCCCTGCTGTACAGTGATGTATAAAATAAATTACCCTTCTTTCTCATCTGAGGCCATTAACAAACAGAGGAAAAGCAACCATACCCATTACAGTTTTAAAAGGTAGCACAGGCACCTCTTTATTTACAAATGTTCCTGGGGAGAGAAAAGGGATACTTTATAACATCACTTATCAGATTCAGCCAGGATCTAAATGATGCCTTAAAAAGATGTGTTCAACTCGTACTCTTAGGTGATTTTAACAACTCCCCCTAAAGAAACGTGGCCGTGTATGAGGATACCGTGGGAATAATCTGCTCTCTAGACTGATACATTTTACAGTAAATTCAGATGGGAAATTGGGCAAAATGGCAGCTGGTGGACATGGGAGGAGGACATGGACAGTTGGCAAAGAGATAAAGAGTGAATGACGATAATCCTGGCTGATTTGATGACTGTAAAGACAGAGTAATGATAGACTCAAGTATTTTTGCCCCCACCCCAACCAATCGGACCCAGCAGTTCTAAAATGTTATGAGAGCTTGACGGCAATCTTCTGCTCCTTCTTCAGCATCCTTTGAGCCTCTTTCTCCACCTTTTTCCTCTGTTGCTCCATGTACCTCTTCTCCCTCTCGGCCATCTTCTGTTGCCTTTAAAGAACAGATGGAGAAAGATAGACGTGATTGTGAACAACGCTGTCACGACGCTGAGTGCTTTCGGGAAACCAGATCAGCTGGGGGAAAAGCTCAGCCCTGCTCTTTGTGCCATCTGAGGTTGTAATACATGGTACGCACTGCCCCCTGCTGGACATGGGGTGTTGTACACTATTATAGTCCTATAATAGGTGATGGGGCACTTTATGAAAATACATGTATGGAACTTTTTTTAAAGTGCCACATCTGTTTGGATGCTGGTTAAATAAATTCAGTGCCCTGGAGAGCGGATGTCTGTCTCTGTTGGCAGGTTTCAAACATGGGTTTTAAGGAGGCAGAAGAGTAAAAAGGTTTAACAATCTGAACGAAACCTGTTTACGGATTGTTGAACACAGACTTGGGAACAATGCTCCCTTATGATAGATTATCAACTCTTTCTGACATCTTCAGTGCTAAATACCATGAAAAATGTTGAGAGGAGACAGTAAATCCAAAATTAACTTTAGGCTGTCAGGCTGCAAAGCGCTAAAGACCAAACCAGGAATACTCCATCAGGAAAATCCCTGTGAACACATCTCACTGTGCCAAACTTAGGAAAAATAGAAATCTGTTCTAAATTCAAATAAAAAATGTCTCTTCATAGATCTCATAACTTGTTATCAGCTATCTCCCTTAAAGAGAGATCTTTAATTGGCTCGGAGGGGGTGTTTGGAACAGAAAAACCTGCACATGCAGGTATTAAAGCAGTATTTGCTCCCATCCAAACTTTTTAATTTTGATAATAATCTGTTTCAATAACTCTTGCAGTTATGGAGAGTCTTGATTAATTTAATACATTAGTGAGTAGTTTACCTGAGCACTTCTTCTGCCTCCCATGCAGCCTCTGACTCGTCCTCCCAGGCGTTTGAGTCCTCCTGCCAGGTTTCCATCTCTCCTAGCTCAGCCTGTGTAGAGAGGATGTTCAAAATCTTTCCAGTTAGAACGCTTCATGTAACGTGATGCTGTAACTGTCCCATATAGACTACGTGGGGACCTTCACTTGGTTCAGGATTTAATGAAAGAACACTCCTGGAGAAGTGAGAAAGGGGGGGAAACTCACTGAAGGCGGACTAAAGGTCATCATATCCTGAGAGGCTGCTAGCCTGCTGGAGAATCCTGACGAGCCGTCGGGCACCAAATAGTTCAAGGGCTCCCTTTTCTTCAGCAAGATCTTCAAAAAGAAAACCAGAAGAAAAGAAAAATAAGGGGTAAGCTCAGATCTAAACTGACCACTTTCTTGATATGTTTTAACTAAAGACACAGTTTAAAGCAGCGGTTGTTTCAGAGATTATTGAGAAATAATAGTGACAGCAAAATGTCAAACAAACAATTGACATTTAAAATGTCCTTTTTATGGCTCCGTTATTTATTTATTTTTAAAATAAAAGGGGATGTCTTTAAAATTACACCAAATTCTTTGCTGGAAATATGAAAAATGACCCCTAACCTAAGACCTATCTTACTCAAGGGCCATTAAAAGTGTGGGTCACCCTGAGACAGACAGCATTCATTAAATCACAGCAGAAGAGGAATAAAACAAAGCTAGAGAAAGTAATGGAATCACTGGAATCACTGGAACTCCAGTTCTGCAGCTCGACTGCTTAAATCATTGCTATAATGCAACTATGTGACACACCCAGCAGTCGACTGGTATTCCTTTTGAACAGCAGCTTTAGCCAACAAACTCCTCATTTACAAATTCCTTTTGATATCCTCCCCCAAACAGAAAATATCTTTTAAATTGTTGCCTGATGAACAACATAGTCCAAGTGCAGAAAAGAAAGATATTTTTTTCTAAACAGGAAGTGCTTTGCAATTATAAGTACATCCTACTGCCTGCAAATAAATGTACTTAAAAAAAAAAACACATTATTTTCCAGACAAAGTAGGAATATACGTTTGAGGTGTGCCCTGAAGTCCCACTTCTGACAGGGGAATTCAAAATTGCAGACAAATATTACCAACTTGTCTGACAATCATCTGAAAGAATGATCTATTCATTGATCTGTTTTCATAATATCTGCAAAAGCAGTGGACCTACCTTTTGTGTTTTCCTGATGGTGGGAGCCATGTCTTTGAAGTAGTCGGGCTCTACTTCGGCATCGTTGGGTGAAGGGGAGACATTTCCATTACCGCCTTCAATTTTAATACTTGTTGGGGCCTCTTCATCCCATGAGCTCCACTCTTCAATCTCAGGCTGTGCATGATAGGAAACAAAAGTAAGCTTATCTTTAGATTTGTCTTTTTATAAAGAATAACAAAAAAATCATGAAATTGTATATGTTTTATCATCTGTTTGTTTTAGCGAGCTGGTGGAGATAAACTGTGCGGTACTGACCTGTTTTGGTAAAGATGACGAAAAATCCACTGTTGTTGGGAGAGTTATTTGATCACCACTGAGCTTGCGGCCCCTTCCACTCCTACCAAAAACACTTTAATAATTTAATAAATACAAATGACACCTTCACACAAACATTGCTAAACACAGACAAGGTTGTTGACAGAATTCAACCAACTACAGTTCTAACAATTACATCAGCTTAAAGTACTGTCAAACGTCCCCATGTTAGAAGTAATGGCAGACTTAAAACATTTATATCAGCAGTATGAGGTTGCATATATTTAAGGAGCAATGCATGTTTTTCATCATACTGTGAAAACATAGTTCTTTGCTAAATTGTTACATGTGGGGACAAAAAGTTAATGCTAAAGAAATAGAGAGAGCCAAATGATCCCCTTTGTTTCTTTGGGTTTACCTGCAGATCAGCCTTTTAAAGAAGGATAGTACGCTGGCTAAACACGTGCAGATCTTGAACAGACGGAACTGAGTGATGGCCATGATGACATTGAGCTGCTGGAAGAAGATATACAACATTCCACATTTTTAATCAACAATGATAACATTTGCTTTGCACAGAGCATAAAACGAAGGGCACCATATTTCCAAGTTAGAAAATAAAAATTGAAGGTAACCAAGAGTTAAGGTTATTTGATAGTCAACAAAGGCAGCAGGCATAACCACACTGCACCACGAATTCCTCTAAATGTGGATCACCGTGACATTAGCATGTGAAATACTATCTTACGTGCGTGTCATTCATCAATTCTCATCGTAATGCAACCCGTGTTTGGCCCAATAACCTTTTTTAAGGTTAAGTAGTCATGCCATATATGTCTTTGTGTTCAAGAAAATGCATACTTACATACAAAGCTGAGAGCGGTGCAAATTATGTCTTCTGGTGAGTCAGAGGAGACCAGTACATTTATTTGCTAACCGTTGGTTGCTAGCTTAGCCCAATGGAAAACATGACATTTCTTAATATTTTAGAATCATCTGTCGCTCGACACATTAGCACCGATGAATAATAACATTGCCGTGAATAGATGATACACGAGACAGATTCCCACAGCGATGCTGTACCATAACAAAACTACTAAATTGATATCGTCGCTCGTTCCTGTCCCATGGCTGCCATATTTGAACTGGGAGGAGCAACAATGCGGAAGTACCAACGTGACCGCGCTGCTTTCAGGTTCTGTCTGAAAATCAACCAGTTCTTCATTTATTCATTCTCAACTGGCTGTATATAGACATAATGAAGTATTTAGTTTTGCACATACTATACATACGGGTGGTTTTCCACAAAACAAACCACCAAGTGCGTGTTTCCCAGCTATGCAAAGATTGTATTTAGCAACTTATAAGTATTCAAGACATAAGCTGCTACCCAATTGTAGTATGAATAAGAAAAAAAACGTAAACTATGTGTACGATTACTACACTGGCGTGGGTAGCAATACACTATTTAAATCTTTTTAAAAAACCTTTACAAATATGTATATTTAAACACATATTAATTAATAAGCATGACCTAATAATGTACGTGTTTGTTTGCAAAGAGATAATCGTGGTCTAGCCACGTTACGTCACCATAAACTACCCAATCAAAACATGACTTGAACGGAAGTGGCACATTTGAAATCTGGCAGTTAAACTCGAGCCCTTTATGTTTTGCTGTGTCGAAGATCCTATGAGAGGAACGGCTTTTTTGTGAATACGATATAAATGATACTGTAAACACGGTGAGATAACTTTTAATAACTTTGCGTTACATAAGATCATAATAGACATGCGACTGTGTTCTCGTGGTATATAATTATTTTCCATGCTAGGCTATTTATCGTTAATAACATTCGTAGATGTTAGCTAGTCAAGCTAGCTGTTATTGTAAACACGAAGTTTATGATTTTGTGTTTGAATAAAATACTTTGTGTTAAACGTTACACCAGTATCCCTCTTTTGCCTCATCTGATCGACATTTAAATATTTTATAGGACAACTGTTGTTGCTAAAGAGTATAGCACACACGCCTAACGTTACCGTGCATGTACATGATAATGCTGTTTTAATGTGAGTTACTGTGTTATCACATTCTTGCTTGTATTTCTGGATATTACATGTTGTTAATGGTTGCTAGTTAGGAGGGACTTGTTCAAAATGTAATCATGCCTGTGTAAGGTGTGGGCATGCCTGTTAACAACGCTGTCATCGTGACATCTCATTCCTCTGAACTGAATATAGTGCCCTTGTATTACATTATCTTCATAAGTTATAACATATATTCTCGTTTGGAAATGTTTATTCATGTGTGTTTACTCACTTCAGATGGAGGAAGAGGAACACACAGACAGAAAGCAGCGACTTGCCATGCTCTATCAAAAACTTAATAAAATTAAAAAGGATCTTAACGAAGGTAATCAAGAGGTTGAAATACAACAGCATCCGTATGTTCATGTTGTGTACGGTCCTGACTCTTTGTACTTGTCTCAGATGACACGAACAACATCAATCAAGTCATTGGCTCAAACTCGCCGGAATCCTGCTTCTCATATCTGACAAACATGGAGAAGAGAGGGGACCCTCACGTGGACCATAAACATCTAACCAGGCTAATAGACTTCTATACAAGAGTCTTCTCCAATATGCCGCTGGGGAAACACAGCCAAAATGAGAGCTATGCCAGGATGTTGGTCAGATTCGCAGAGCTGAAAGCGTGAGAAATCTATTACGCATGTAGTAATGCACGAACAAATGCTTATTTGTGTGCATTTCAAAATCGACAAAAACTCTTTCTTGTCATTGTCTTAGAATTCAAGATGTCAATGAAGCAGAGAACAACTTCAATGTGGCGAGATCTCAAAGCCAGAAGTTTGCATTTGTCCACATTGCACATGCACAATTTAAGCATTCCAGAGGTAGAAATTGGCACTTTTTTAAAACTATTATTGACAATTTTTCTTCTCATAAGTGTGTTACGGTTTTCATGACGTGTCTTATTTTATGCTCTTGTGTCAGGTGACACAAAGAAAGGCATTCAAATTTTGCAGAATGCTTTAGAAGTGGGGGCGAAACCAAAGGAGCTGTTGGAGGCTGCTTTGAAGACCATTCAGGCAGGGAACACAATCTTTTGCCCAGATGATAAGGAGAACGTCCCATGTGAGTATTGATATCCTTCTACACACGCACATTTAGTGTTTTAATAGGTCATATTATCTTTTCTTGATTATGTGTGTTTCTGTTTCCAGTATTGCCCCACAACAATGTGCAGGATTCAGTCAAAAAAGGCCCAGAATTCCAGAAAGTTAGCAGAATATCTGATGGGACGGGCGACTTGCAGCTTTCCAGTATTTTCAGTTCAGGGTAAGAATAAAAAAAGCCTTTAAAAATAAAACTTTCAACTTTCTGACTCTTGCTGGCAGGAAGTTGCTTTTTTTAATGACAAATCTGGGCTTTTTCTCAGCTCCATTTTTATGTATCTACAAGTTTACTTTTTGGAAAACTATATTTTTTTCAAGGAATGGTGTCATTTCAGAATACAATCATAACTGGGCATTGTTATGAAACCAGTCACAAATACAAAACAAATCATGCAGCTCACCTATGAAGCCTCAAAGTGTTCCAAGAACATACAACTAAATTGGTCCAGCTATGTTGGAGAGGTTGCATTTAATGAATCGTTGAATGAATGTTAGCATTCATTTATATATTTTTAGGTAAAAGTTGCAGAGGTCGAAAAATAGATTTCTTTTGAAATTTACATTTCATTGGTCTTTGGCCCTCAGGCAGGAGAACGTCTGTGGCTCCTCAGATGATCAGCTGCCCGGATGGAGGTCTGGTTCTCATCGGAAGAGAGCGGTGGGCTTGGTATGTTTTGAATCTGCCGCCCAGATCTAATAAGACTCTTTGCAGACGTTTTGAAGAAAGTGGTCTCTTATTTTGGCGTTCCAGCCAGGGAGAATACCTGTACTGCCGTTCTCCATCCCAGAGAAGGACGATGATGATGATGAGAATGTAAACAGGAAGCCATGCACACGAGGAGACGTATCCATCTCCACCGGTTTCTCCAGGTATCGTACTGAAAACAGATTTCCGACTCTATAGAGTGTGAGCTGGGCCGTGTAATATTTTACGACACAATAGTTTTCACTGTTGATACATTCATTGGTTGTATTACATAAAATAAGCTTATCTATAGGGCTGATGGGTTTTAATTTCTCAGAAAATTACGAAAAACACCATTTAGCGTCTGAGATGCTGTTTGGCTAATATATTTATACCCCCTTGTCTTTAAAGAAAAAAAAAAAAAGGTAAATATGTTGTGGAACAAAGCAATTATGTTGGCTGTTACAGTCATGGTTTTACTTAATGGTTACTGTAGCCAAATGGCTACATTTTGGCATCTTAATGAATCATCTCACAGCTGAAGCTGTTCTGAGCTATGACACCACCCCAGTCTGACCAAATTGATTTCCTCGCAGGAAAACATCTGGTTCAAGCGTGAACTCCATATTTGGTCTGTCCTCCTCAAAGAGGAATTCTGAAGAAGGAGATCCGGTTCATTTTAAAGTGAGTACAAAGGGTTAGGTGGTTTATTTTTTTCCTTTCCTGAGCTCTGTTCTGCTTGGATGTTAAAAAGAGAAGATGTAAATCTTGGACTGGTCATATTCTCAGCCACCAGCTCTCAGTCCGGAGCAAAACCAATGGGATGAGCAGGCCCCTGTTGACTCCACCACGACTCTCCTTCAAACCCAGTGCCCAAAAGACTCCTTAGCATTGGAAGGTAGTGCATCTTGGACTCCCAACTCCATAACCTGCATTGTGTTGAGCTGTAAAATGAGTTGCGTTATCTATAGACAGTTAATCATTCTTCCCGTCTTTTCCATCAGATGTGACTTTCAGTTTCGATCAGATCGTCAGCTCCAATTCCCCCGAGTCCTGTTGGATGTACCTCCTGAATCTGGAGAAAAGGGGCGACCCTCGCACAGACATCAGCCTCCTCAACAAGCTGAAGAGCTGCTACTCAAAAGTCTTCTCCAGGCTGCCCATCAGGAAGTACAGTAAAAACGTCAGCTACGCCAGAATACTGGTCAGATATGCTGAGCTGAAGGGGTGAGTGTGGCCAAACCATCAGACCTTTTGTGGTGTCGAGGTGTTGTAGAGTGATTCGGGCTATAGGAGAAGATTAGCAGGGAAGGATTGAGGATTTTTAGCGGCTTTTGCCAGCAGTGCTGTGGAACCACGTGGAAACAGAAACGAGTGTCCTTACTTTTAGTGAGGGTTCATGTGGCGTATGTACAGAATACCTAAAACACTAAACATAGTGAAGTGGCACAAGCTGGTTTTAAAAAAGAAAATTTAGACATCCACATCCCTGTCCTCGCTACTCATGTCCTGTTAAGTTTAGATATTACAATCACATGATTGGGATTTAAGGAGACAACGCTCCTTGTTCCAGTTTACAAGCATGTATGGGGAAGTGTTTATTTGGATATCTTTGGTTGAAATATATCAGCTTTCCAGTTTGACAAGATGACCAACAGACCAAATAAATGGAAAGACATTTCAGCTAGCGGCAAAAAGCAGCAGGCTGAGTGTCAACTCTGAGAGCTTCACAGCCTGAGAATAGTAATAAGACCAGCTAAAATCAGTGCACGCAGGAGTATTTTGCAAAGTAGAACAAAAGATTTATATCCGCTTTGAATATGCAGCCTATGTCAGAACAATTATTTCTCTTCTACATTGCGCAAATGTTCGGGTGCTCATGAGCCTCTCGCTGTTTCCCGTCTTTCCTCAGAATTGAGGATCCAGATGAAGCACAGGACCACTTCATAGTTGCGAGATCCAACTGCAAAGGGTTTGCCTTTGTCCACATCGCACATGCCCAGTTCGAGGTGTCTCAAGGTATGCATGGCTCTTTGTAGGTCGCTGTCACACATTGCCACTGAAAGTAGCCCCAGACATTGATAACATCTTCTGTAATTATCAGGAAAAAACATAAAGGGTGATATCCGTGGAGCAGGACAGCACAGTCGTGCATAATAACTAATTCCTTATTCAGGCGGCGTTGTGCTGAATCAGGTCCCACATTTCAGCTCACGTCCTCATTTGGTATTGAATTGGAACAGTAGATGGAAATCTGCTTTAATTAAATGAATTAAACATTAACTGTGTGTCCCGTTAGCTATTTATAGCACTCGGTATTCAAGCCATCAGCATTACCAACTTTTCTTTTTAAGCTCACAGTTTTGCGTGATTTAGGCCAAACTTGAGGTCAAGTCAAACTAAACTGATCAAACTTTGTTGGTAACGTTTGTGCTTTACAGCATTGCTTCAAAAGACATTGTCTCTCGTCTCTATTTTAGGTAATTTGATCAAAGCAACGTCAATTTTGCACAAAGCGCTGGCACTGAACGCCAAACCGGCAGAGCTCCTGGAGACGGCCATGTGTAACCTCAAGGCCGGTGAGAAACAGCTGCTGTCTTCTTCAGAGGAGGAACCTCCCACGGGTACGGACACTGACCCATCCAAATGTCCAGTTCAAAGTGTGATGCATCTTCTGAATATTTAGGTTTTGTTTCTGTTTCTTTCCCCCACCTTTGCAAACAGGTGCTGCAGGTAGTGTAGTGCCATGTGGGGGAAACCAGGAAGTGCAGCTTCCTGCCCGGGTCCCTGTGACCCGCCCAGTGGAACAGCCCAAAGCGGCCTGCAGGCAATCCCTATCAGAGTGGAGGATCCCGACCCTGGTCAACCGCCATGTGTCCCCAGAGGTGTGACCGCTTTTTAATTGTTTAGTTTTTTAATACTCTGATGTATGTTGCACAGGCGTTTATTTTTTCAATGCTCATTTGTTCCCTTTTAAGGACAAACGGATAACGCCTCCTGTTCCCAGACCTGTTCCCCAGCACGTGGAGTCTTTCCCCACTCCATCCATCCACCTTCCGGCCAGAATAAACCCTCCAGCAGTCTGCCAGACGCCCAATGGCTACAGGAACCCAGCTGCAAACAGGTGCTGTCTTTGGGCTTTTACCGGGCTCTTGTGTGACTTATGAGATGAACATCAGTTATTCTCTGCATGCGTGGCACATCTCAGGACATTTTTTTATTATTATTGTGTCAGAGAAGCTTCATCTTCTCCCGGTCTTCTTGGAGCAGGTGGCAGAATCCGTGGTCATTTTTAACAAATTAGCTGTTTATGATAAAAGAAATGTGCCATTCAGTTGTGTCGTGTTTGACTCAGAAACTGTAACCGGCCACTTGTAACCCAGCCTTTTCTCCCCTCAGCTTCATCACCCCCGTCGCAAAGCGAGGCCCTGAAGTGCCATCCTCTGCAGCAGCAGCACAGAGAATGGGACCTGTTCAGCATATGGGCACTCCTCTTAACCAGTCTGCCTGTTTCCAGACCCCACAGGTACAGCATGTCTCATTTTAAACCCCCCCCACCCCCATGATCATTTTCCTCACCAATGATGGGATTTCCGATTTGATTTTAGCACATTTTTGAGTCATTTGTTTTTTATTCCCTCTCATTTCAGTCCTCCTTCAGCGCTTTGTCAAATGAGTCCATCACTATAAAGGGGAAACAGTTCTTTATCCTGAAGATGATTGGACGTGGTGGATCAAGCAAGGTAAAAAGAAAAAAAAGGGGAAATTAAGAGGGAGGCGTGCTGATATGAACATCTAATCATCCAATACCCCGGTTTGCCTTAACAGTGACTCTTATCTGGTGTTTCCAGGTCTACCAGGTCCTGGACCACAAAAAGCAGCTGTTTGCTGTCAAATACGTCAACCTGGAGGAGGCTGATGCTCAGACCATAGAAAGTTACAAAAATGAAATTGCACATTTGAACCACTTGCAACAGTTCAGCGACCAAATAATCAAGCTGTTTGATTAGTAAGTACATGGCTTTTCCGAGGCTGAAAATAGATCTTGGATAGAAGCTTGTTTTTGTTCTAACCTGATGTGAAACAGCTGCTGATCTATTTGTCACATTAAGCATCAGAGGTGAAGTTGAACAAAATGGTTTAGAATCAATTTGAAAATCACTTAAATACATTTCTTATTTTCCTTTGATATATCAGCTTTGCTTTTAATTTAGATCTCTTTTTTGTGTCTATCCACAGTGAAATCACCAACAGCTACATCTACATGTTGATGGAATGCGGAAACCTGGATTTGAACACTTGGCTGCGAAACCGCAAGACAGTGAACCCGCTGGAGAGGAAGTTCTACTGGAAGAACATGCTGGAGGCTGTCCACACCATTCACAAACACGGTGCTCCCCCCCCCTTCGAGCATACGGGAGCATTAACCGGAGTCTGCGGGTTTGTTACTAGACTAATTAATTCATCGTCTTCCTTGTGTGTTCGCAGGCATCGTCCACAGCGATTTGAAGCCGGCCAATTTTGTCATAGTAAACGCTACGCTGAAGCTGATCGACTTTGGCATCGCCAACAGAATCCAACCCGACGTGACCAGCATCATGAAGGAATCGCAGGTGCGCCGTGGCTTTTGAGTTTTGTATCCATGCACAGCAATAGTTGCTGATATAATTTTATACGAGTTTTTTTGTTAGTTTTTTTTAACAGGATTTTGTTTAGCTTCCACTGATGATCAGAACGAAAATTGTAAATAGAACAGTGTCCGGTTGAACGTACAAACAAAACTGTAATTGTTTTTTTTTTTGTATATTTTGTAATAGAATAGTAGTGATAATTTGACTAAATTGGGAAAATGGAAAGAAACCAGAGACCTGTGTGACTTGTGGCTTCAAATCCAAAATGATTGGACTGAAAATCACATCGGCATTTCAAAGAATTTTAACTAGAATCAACAAAGCTGTACCGAATCTAGTTAGAACTTAAAATAGAAGTCAGGTCCAATGTGTTAAACTCCATTTTGATTACAGGTTGGAACTCTGAACTATATGCCCCCTGAAGCCATTAAAGACACTTCGTCTCAGCCAGGAAAAGCACGCTCAAAGGTTGGCCTCTTTTTTTTTTTTGCTAACTTAACAAGTGTTTTAAACCACACTCATTAAGTTAGTTTTTAATAACTAATTCTTTGTCTTACAGATTAGCCCCAAAGGGGATGTCTGGTCCCTGGGATGCATCCTGTACTGCATGACCTATGGGAAGACTCCATTCCAGAACATCACCAATCAGATAGCAAAGCTTCACGCCATCATTGACCCCTCCCATAGGATTGAGTTTCCTGACTTATCTGAGAAGGATTTGCTGGATGTGTTGAAGGTGAGAACCCACAACTAGTGTTTAATCAGATGCAATAGTACCTATGTTTTTCCCCAAGGTTCTGAAAGGCTAAAAGTTGATTTATTGTTTGCTTTTACCAGAGGTGCTTGGTTCGAAACCCTAGAGAGAGGATATCGATCGCCGAACTGCTGGATCATCCCTATCTCCAACTGAATCCACAAGCATCCCCTAAGCAAGGTGCACAAAAGCAAAAGAAACTGCACGCAGAGGCCAAGCAAGTGTTTTGATCATCACTGACGCATATCTTCTTTCCCTTCTTTTAGAAGCTCCCTCCAACAGTGACCTGAGGAGGATCCTAACAGACCTGGCAGCCCTGCAGTCTCCAAACAGCATCATCCGGGCTGCTAATGTGAGTTTTTTTCAGCAGTTGTTGTTTTTTTTTTCTTTTAAGTATTATTTTCAAATCTTTGCCCCCTGAAATTTGAACTTGGATCTCTGCCTCTTACAGAATCTGGCTAAAATGTGCAACAGTGGCAGGAAGCTGGACGTTGCAGAGTGTGCGAAGTCATCCTCTTAAAAAATCTCTGACATGGACATTTCTGTTTTCCGCTGACTTTATTAAAGCCTGCTTGAGCCCATTTTCTAATAAGATGTAAGAACTAACAATTGTATTTACTTTTTTTTTTTAAACAAAACACAACAATAATATGTATTTGCACCCTTCTGTTTTCTTGCTCTTTTGGTTGCTTTTCAGAAGTGTTTTTCTCAGCTGTAACCGTATACAGAATAGCATGGTCAAATAAATATTTAGTATCTTTGAGAGCTGTTGATGTATCCCATCTGTTGAGGAGAGAGCTACCTGACGAGGTGTGCTGCTTTCATTCATAATTACAGGGATGGTCAAGATACTGTGAGAAGCTAGTTGTACAGCATTGTACATCCATCCATTTCTATACCACTTATTTGAGCGAGAGGCGGGGTATACCCTGGATGGTCGCCAGTCCATCATAGAAAATAATAAAAAATAAAAAAAAATGAATCATTCTCTTTTTTCCCTTTGCATATTAAGTCATTTGCAGTGTTTTCCTCATTAAATGTGTCCTTCCCTTCATTAGACTGATAATGCCATGGGTCATTTAAAAACCTTTGGTAAAAAAAGAAAGTGGTTATTGTGACACTGTTTGTTTTGTCTGTTTTTTTTTCCTTTAAATTAATACTCTGGTCCAGTTCATGTTCAAGTCTCATATTTATTCTATTTATTAATTTTACAGAAAAGACTTAGGGGTAGAAAAATACACCCTCTTATGGTGTTGAATTCTGAGTTGCAGCTGATGTAATGAGTGCTACAAAAGCATGAAATGGGATAATTTTTATCAGCCTACCCTTTAGAGCAAAGCTTTTTAGGGTGTTTTTGAAGCTTTTTGATAATAAATCAACTCTCAATATGAAATGGTTATGCTGTAAGAAAGAAGAAAATTATACATAAGGATTTATCCTGATAAATTTAGGTGACCTTTTACATATGTAAAGAAGAGGCATGCGAATTACACAGTTTCCTCAAGGAAGAAGATGCATTTGACCATATCCAATGAATATAGAATTTAAATTGGACAAAAGAAAATCTCTTGTGTTCCTGATTTGGATCTAGGCCTGATGAAAAAGAGATGACCGCTTAAAATCTCTTTGGTCCAGTTTCCCTTCTTGACAGGTTACAACACACTAACTGCTAACTCATAGAGTATTGAGTTATTGATGTAGGAAAAACCCTTTTCCATATGAAAAATGGGTTCAGAAGCTCTAACTTATTTCACCACACCGTCAAAACTGTCTTTCAGACGGTCGGGAAATAGCTATAAATGTATTTAGTCATGTTTCGTTGAACAAGCATGTTACAGTCCCTATTGTCTTATTTTATTTCAGCATGCGCATTTATTAGATGGGGGTGGAAATTAGATAAATTAACAGATTGGGAAAACCGGTATTCCTTAGCACCTAACCCTCAGACTGGGTACACCACCCTCCGTTTGGACCAATCACAACTTTCACCCACTCACGAGCGTGATCTGGGGAGGAATGAGAGGATGAAAAGAGATCTCACTCTGCCACTAATCCCGAGTTCTGAATGCCAACGTTTCTGTTGCAGTCAAAAGCACGTTTCTATCTTGATCCCACTCTTGCTATTCGCTGTCAGATTACGTAAACATAAATTAAACACATTTGTTCGTATCGATTAAGATTTTTCAGTTCATAAAGCTGTTGTATCGTGTTAACTTACCGACTGTAGCGTGTATTACGTATTTACAATATTTGTATAATTTGGGGAGTTGATCATTTTTAGATTCAGGCTTTAGTGGACAGAAAAAAGGTTAATTAAATTAGAATTATAAAGAAAAAAAAGAAAAGGGGGAAAAAAATCCCAACACGGGAATCGTCATGAGGCTGTTCAGGAATGTTTTCTGTTTTTTTTCCGAAAATTGAGTGATACTCCAACCTTTAATAGACGATCTTCGCCGTTTGATTCATCTTGCCCTTCCTGTTCAGTCATAATAACAGAGATGGCGGCGTCTGCACGGTTCTTCATACGAGGTGCAAATTCAAAACTTTCCATCTCCGGTGTTGGCACCGGAGTTCAGAGCACTCTCGGAGGCGGTTTTCTTAAGCTGTCTCCGAGCTCCAACTCTCGTTCAAAAACACAACGAAGACATGCAGCCCACTTTACTTACCACCCTGACCCCGTCCCGACACAATATGGTGAGTGGCTGGCTAACTGGTTAGCGTCTGCTAAGTTTGGGACGATTCGCCGGATAATAACTGCTCGTGCAATAGTTTTTCTTAATCAAACAATGGAGGAAACACTTATTAAGACTATGGAAACTGTATGACCTGTTCATATTTGGAAACCCGTGTGGGACTCCTTACAAAACCGGTCCGAACCGAACCACAATATGTTCCCAGAATTCGAAAAGCCACTATTGATATTATGAAGTTTTTGTTTCTTTTGTTTTGGTTTTGTTTTGTTTTTTGTTTGTTTTTTTGTGAAGTGATTACCTAGCAACGACCTTATATTGTCATTTGTAGCTCCCAAAAGTATTCCCTCCTTGGAAGTGAGAATAAAAAACAAAATTAGTTGCATCTTGAGAAGAAATGTTTGTATTGAAGCTCAATGTTCTGCACTAAAAAGAAAAATCTGCCGAATAATTTTGCATTTTCTTTTTAAACAGATGTATGTTGAGGACGGCACCAATGTCATGTGAAGCTCGAGTTACAGTGTTAAACTTAAACTGATAATAAATTATGTGACAAACCAAACAATACAATCAACTTATGTGTAAAAGAAAGACAAAAAAGAATTACACCCTTAAAGGTAAATAAATCAACTACAACTAAAGGAATCCGAGAGACAGACCTGGATTGAACTGGACTGGACCTTGAGTTTATTTGTGATGTCCACTTAAGACTCATCAGAAATGGTCTGTATGGAAGGGTGGGTGTTTTGGGAGGGAAGTTTGTTGTGCCAAATGTCACACTGGCTTAACCGGGTTAAGAGTGGTGTTATGAAGCCATGAATCATCTCCACATGGCGTGACCTCAGCATTATAGAAAAGAGAGGGATCATCAACAAAAGGCAGCAAACATCTAAAAAAGAACTTTGGGATGTCATTCAGGAAGCCTAGACAGCTAATCCTGAAGACGGTTGTTAAAGGGACATGAAACTGTGTAGAACATTGAGGGAATTTTTACACGTTTACTTAAAATCTGACTTATTTCCTAAGTAACAAAAATTGTTTATGGTCAAATGATAATTTGACAGATCCCATTGACTCCTTTTTATATATTTATTCCTTTTTCCAAGATGAAGACAGTGGATTTTTGCTTTATATTATTGGAAATAAAGCTTGTCTGTTTAAAATTTGGAGCTGTATCAGCACACCAAGGTCAGAGGGGTCTTTTCCTTTGAGCGGCCGGTCAGGAGTGAAAGTACTAGCCAGCCTGTGCTCCACCCTATGTGGCAATAGCCAGTGGTTTGCTCTCCACATACCATTTCTCTCTCTCAAACACACACACAGACGCACGCACACACACACTCCTGCTTTTTTCTGATGTTTTAATATAGTTGGAATCAGAAATCAGAGGTACCTCAAAGCAAAGGTTTTGACATTATAGGAAAGAAACGGTCCTTGGTAACGAAGGATGTGGACAGTTTGTAGTTTCTGTAACCTGGCAACATTCGAGGCCTGTGTAAGCGTCTCTATCACACATGTATGACTGTCCTACACAAGTTTGGAACTCGCTGACTGTCCCTCTATGCCTTCAACCGACATGTTGACACGGTCTTGATTATTCACTTTTGTCTTATTTGTTCCTTTTCTTTAGTAAATTATTTTTGTGGCCGACTCTTTTTAAGCTCTTATTTTCCTCATCCACAGGCACCACCCAGAAGATGAACTTGTTCCAGTCGGTCACAAGTGCCTTGGACAACACACTTGCTAACGATCCTACAGCAGGTAAAACACCAGCACAGGAAATTGAATTTATTTGGGTTTGTAAAATCAGTCCCGCAGACTGCAGTAAAAAAGGATGACAAAATAGGGACATACAGACCCTTCTTTTTGTCTGTATGCACAGCTGAGCTAAAATGTCCACCATCCCAGCTGCTCTGTAGCTGTGGTTAAATCAAACTCTTGGTATATGTGTGTGTGTGTTTGTGATCAGAAACACACAGAGTCCACAGGTGTGTCTTCTGACTGTCTTCTGCTGTTTGTCTGCAGTCATCTTCGGGGAAGATGTCGCTTTCGGGGGAGTGTTCCGATGCACAGTTGGCCTGAGAGACAAATATGGTAAGATGCTGCTTTACGTTTAAAACCAAGTTCCTGACTCTTTCATTTGTGTTAAACTGTTTTGCCACTAGATGGCTGTAGAGCATCACAAAGAGCCTAAACACACACTGCTCACAAAACACTGTGCCGCTGTGCTGCTGACCCAGAGGACCAGAAGGATCCAGCATGCGCAGCAGAGGAGAGTTACTGACTTTTGTCTCTGTGCACTGATACAGTCTGACTATCTTCACTAGATTTCCCTAAAGCTCTCCAATGTTGCTTTAATGCAGGGGTCACCAACACGGTGCCCGCGGGCACCGGGTTGCCCGCACGGACCAAATGAGTCGCCCGCGGGCCTGTTCTAAAAATAGCACAACTCAATAGTGAAAAGCGTCTAAAATTTAATTTTGTTCCCTTGCTATTCTATTTTAATCACACTTGCATTCATTTAGATTTAATCTAAAATGACAATATCTTTAAAATATGTTAATTATATATTAAGTTTAAGTTTTCTCTAGTTCAAAGGTCAGTATTGTGCACGTGACAAAACAAAACCAGTGTCAGTGGAGAGTAAGCTAGCGGGCGCAGCGGGCGCAGCGGAGATGGGTTCAGTTTCTTACCCCAAAAACATGGGAGAAAAACGAAAGAAAACGTATCACTCTCACAGTGAATGGGAGGAGGAGTTCTTTTTTACGACTGTAAAAGAAACCTGCGTGTGTCTGATCTGCGGGGCAACTGTGGCGACGGCAAAGCGGCACAATGTGGAGAGACATTTCACTTTGTGCCACAAAAGCTACCATACTAATTATCCACCGGGAAGCGCACTACGGGCTGAAAAAGCACGTCTGAAATATGCACTCACAGTTGCGGTGTCAACTCACACACCAGATTACAATGCACTGGTGAACAGCATGCAATGCCAATCTGTTAAAGATTTGGTCATGAGATTTCAGATTTCTTTTTAATATGTGAGTTGATTTTTCTTTAACATTAGATAATTGATAACTTTTTGAAACATGGTGCAACATAGTTCATGATTTGTTAAAAGGTTTTGTCAGTGGCTAGTGAAAATGAGTGAAATTGAAAACCCCTATGTAAATGTAGTGATGTAGAGTAAGTGATCATCTGAAAATTTAACAGTTGCTGAGATAAATAGACATAAAGTGGGGGATATTGATATGTTTCCCATTTTGTTGTCACTGTTGTCACAGATGAGTATCATTAATGATTATTAATAAAGTATAGTTAAAAGCATATTGAGCAAATGTATCATTTCAGAAGAGTGTATCAAATTGGTAGCCCTTCGTGTGACTCAGTACCCATGAAGTAGCCCTCCGTTTCAAAAAGGTTGGTGACCCCTGCTTTAATGTCTTCAAATGTCATCTTTATTGCGATCTAACTGCTAAGCTAAGAGGCTCCCTCTGTCTGAGCTCCTGCCTGTCAGGAACTCGGTGAACTCGGTGTCAGGGTGTTTGACGTGTGCACACGGTGCAGTCTCGCCCTGCACACTCAACGTGTGCACGCACTTTTGATGTTTTCCCACTCGCATTAGGAGCTGCGTCTGTCTCAGCACGAGCTGATGGACACGTCATACGGACAAAAACCCCCGCCAAAAACTCAACCAAATTTATTTCTGTTGGTCCAGCAAGTGAAAGTCTGCTCACTGGGCCTCTGTCCCACCCTCCTCAGGTTTGTTTTAGCCACTACAGCCTCCCGTTGATCTGCTCCACACTAATTGCTCCACGCCTGTAGGGTGGTTGTGCAGACGTAGGCCGGATCAGCATCATCTGTCAGCACGCACCACGCATCTAACTTGAAGCGTTCTGCATAGTGTATCAGCAGCCTCTGCAACGGCCTCTGCCATCCCAGAGGAGTCGCAGCTGTAGTGGTTTTAATGAGCTGTTAGTAACCTGTGATGGATCTCAGCTATATGACAGCTAAACGCTGCATATTATTTAGGTCTCACAGATTCTGCACCCTTTAATTACGCATCAAACTATAATAAGGCTCATTCTAAACGGGAGGAATTCTGCTTCAAATGCGCCTCCTGCCGATAAGGTACCTCGTGCGTGTCCAGTATAGATAAAGATTTTAAGGTTGGGGTCAGTCCCATATCTTTTGTCTTTTTCCCAGAGCCTGATGATCCCAGACCCAGCTATCCAGCATGAGTGCTGAGTTAAACACATTGTGGTGAATTGTGGAGGCTCTTTTAAACTAGAGGAGAAAACTGATCTGTTAAGGAACAAGTCTGACTTTAAAAGCCCCTATGATCGATACTGATGGAGATGAACATAAATGGTCTGTTCCTTTTTTATGTTGTTTAATTAATTTAAGGAAAGTCAGTCATTTAATTCAGTCTTCCGGTATATCAGGATTTAGTCCACAGTGCATTCTGCTGAATGACGGCTCAACCTTTCTGCCTCATCAGCCAAGCAAGCAGCCGTGTCCGAACACTGGACGCAAGAGCATGTTTGTCGGCTCAGTGTTAAGTGATGAACGCAGGTGTTGTTATTTAGTGTTGAGTTTAAAAAATAAATGTTGGATTCTAAGGACCGACATGGTCTCGGAGCCGGATTGTTTTGAAGCATGGTGCTAGCAGCTTTCTTGCTTTCTTTGGTTATGGTGACAAAAAATAAGGCTTAATTTAGCCTGTCTCGTCTCGAGTTCCTTTTCTGTTATTTCACAAGCCGGTTTCATAGCAAGAAGTCTCAAATCCGTTCCGGTCGTGGTTGGCTTTTCCTTTTGTTTTTCATTGACGTCAGAAGAGCTGACCTTTTGGAGAGGGATCATTATTTTCCATCTCATCCCTGTGTACAGTGACGAGCACAAAGCTGTTTTTATCCCTCTCAATACAGAAGGGAGCGATGCGCACCCATGCCACCTGCAGCCATTACACAGAACAGAGGTTAATGCAGGGCGGACGCTGTATGAATGGCTTTTACAGACTGATGCGTTCACCTCGCTGATCCTCTTCTGCTCTCCAGCCGCTGGCGACTTGCTGTTAGCCACCTCCTGAGCACCGTTTCCCTCAGAACAAACAGCACGTGCCGGCCGGCGCTCCCTACCCAGCTCTCCCTCTCGCTGATGCGTTTGCCTTTTTTTCCCCCTGAAAGCAGAGTTGTTTCTTAACAGCTACTCGCCGCCCATTTGAAACTGCATTCTGAAACCGTGAAAAGCAGAGACGCCTTTTCCGCTGACTGCTTTGATAAAAAAAGCTGTTATTAGATGTTGCTTTCACACCGAGCTGCGTGCCATGCTGGCTTTGTGAGCACGGAGGCACATAAGGGCAGAAAAACTCGCTGCTCTACGCGCTTACTTCCCAGCAAGACAGAAAAAGACCGTATTGGCAAATACACAAAGATGAGAGCAAAAATAACAGTCACAACCCAAATTTAGAGTCCCACTCTAGTGGTTCTTTTCCAGATTATAGGGTGGAGGATGGAAAATAGTTTTGTTTCTTCAGTTTTTACTCCATGGGGGTTGTGTGTGCGCATGTGTGTATGCGCGCTTGTGTGTGTGAGAATCACTGAATTGGTCGACTGCAGTTGAAAAGGAGCTCGGCACTTCATTTATTTAGGACCACATGGAATTGTGGGTAGAGGTTGTGCTTTGGAAACTCATCAGTCTGATGAGATAAATGTCTGGGAGACTTTACTGTTTCAGTCAGCTGTGATCAATCATCTCAAGGGAATGTTCGAATTTCGGCTCCTGATCCTCACACTTCTGCCATAGAACGTTGTCTCTCTTTCTCACTGAACGCTTCCTGGTTGCCCCCTCAAGCAGGCCTCATTCCGAGTGTTTTCCCTCTCTGTTGTGCTTCCTTTTCAGGTAAGGACAGAGTCTTCAACACTCCCCTTTGTGAGCAGGGAATAGTGGGCTTTGGCATCGGTGCAGCCGTCGCTGGCGCCACAGCCATTGCCGAGATTCAGTTTGCCGACTACATCTACCCAGCATTTGACCAGGTAAGGGACATCCTACCTGTCAGGTCGAAGGTTATTGACAAAATTTTTCAGAAAGAAGCAGTGGGGGATATTTAATGACACTTATCTGTTTAATAGTTTTTGATTATTTTGCATACAAAAATGACAAAGATACTTGCATATACTGGGACACATTGTTGCGAGCATCTATCATATTTGTTTACACCATTAAGTCACCCCACTTTTTAAAAAAACTGCTTCAGTCTCAATTAAAACAACAATACCTTTACAGACTGAGAAGACCACACATCTATAAAAAAGACTAAATCGATAGCATATTCTCTTACTGGATTTTGTATATATAGCAACAGGTCATCAGCATATAGTGAGGGATGCAACTCTGTGTGGTTCCTGGCAATGCTATTAAAGTGGGCGAGGTCCTCAAATAGATAGACAGGAGCTGTATTGTGAGGAGTCAGTGGGCAGTTCTTTCTACGTCCATTCAAGTACAAATATCTTGACAGAATATTATTAGCCATAATACTTGTACATAAGATCAAATGAAGAATGAGGATTCACAATATAATTTTTTCCCCAAATCCGCAACTAAACTTAATTATACGCCTTTTTGCCATCAATTGAAATGACTGTTTCTGGCATAACTGCTGTTTCTTTTGTGAATATTACATTTAATGAATTACAATCATTCTGACAGAGCTGACACCCCTTTATAAAGCCAGTCAGCTTCTTAAAAGGGAATTTTTGGAGGGTCCTTCTCAAGTCGGCCTTTGCAAGAACTTTTGTATCTAAATTCATTAAGGATCCTAGGAATCCTTTTCCTTTTTCAGAAGAACACTAATCGAGGCATGTCTCAGTGTGGGAGGCAATGAACTAAGTCGCAAAGATCCAACATAAACAGCATTTACACATGGAGTAAGTTTGGAATTAAATACTTTAAGCTTAAATTTTATTAGAAACCAATTGGGTTCTGGGACTTTAATCCTTTGCATGTTTTGTAAAGCTGAATATAGTTCTTGATTAGTCAACGCAGAGTCCAATTGATGAATCAAGTCTGGATTTACGGAAAAAGTCATTGTAACAACGTGTGCATGTCGGTACGATCTGATGACAGTTCAGACCTGTACAGGGACTCAAAAAGTTGAAAAGACAGAATTATTAACAGCAAGGTTCTCTTGTAGCTCTGCAGATCCATCCCTATTCTGAGATGTTAGGCGTGAGGCTGCCAGTGATTGGTTCTGTACCTAAGCCCTCCGTACCGTTGTGCAGGTCAAAAATAAAACCCCAATCAGGTTTAAAACACGGTTGCTGCTGTTTCACCTCTCGTTGACAAACGCATCCTGTCGGGTTTACATGATGTAGGCTGAAGCACTCTGATCCACAGTAAACAAGCAGAAAAATAGAGGAGGTCTGCATTTAGCTGATCTTAAGATCACAGTTTGGAAAAGCATCATGACCAAGATGCGCAAGGACCTTACGTCAAACATAGCTGGAGGAATAAAGAGGATTAAGACAGCAAAAGTAAGCGTAAATGGCAGCACAGTGGGTACAAACACAAGAAAGTTTCAAGACTGAATTTCAATGACTTTTTTTGGCAGATCAATTCAAATTTAGAGTCTCAATCAATCAAACCAGCATATGCTATTTCTAAGAAAAAGATCAAGCACATTGTAAGCAATTATAGTCTAACTATAGTTAGTCTATCTATTTTCAGTCCCTTTGGTTGAACAGTATAGCAAATTTAATTAGATGTAGACTCCTTACATCCGCTTAATGAGCATGTTTAGAAAGAAATACTCGCTGCCTTTAGTCAAACATGCTGAAATGTGGCAACGCTGATGTGATGTTGGAAACACCTTATCCAGTACTTAACCAATTACACGTTCCTTTTTTTACCCAAAGAGTAGCAGCTTTGCCTGGGGTTGACAGCCCGGCCTTGTTGTTTGGCTGGTGGGTGGAGCTGTGTCTGTCCGGATATCAGTGGTGCAGCAGAGGAACCTTCAGCACCCTCCGGTTTGGTTTTTCTGATGAAGATTAATGTGACTTTGACGGGTGGAGCACAATACTGGGCAACGCTGCAGTTCCGTCTTGTAAACATGCCGACACCTCCGAGTTAGCGTGTTTATGGAGCCCGTTTGCACGAGTGGTGTTTCAGCGCAGAGACAGTAGGCTAAATCCGGTGTCGGGCCCTGAGTGGGCTCCCCCTCTCCGTCTGCGCTCTCACTTAAGATTATACAGTCCAAACGGACTTCAGAGAGAAATAAAACCCAGAATTAATAGTCCAAGTAAGTTTAAAGCAGGAAAAAACGTGGACAACTCCTTGGATAGGGCTCAGTTTCAGAAACGGTAGATGTTAGTCCAGGACAGCTGAGGCCAAAGCGCTTGTTAAAAAGAAAGTAGCGTTTCAGGGTCTTCGAGGGAGGAAAAGTGCGGTTTTGATTTATGAAAACTTTGTTTGACTTTAACACATATGTTGCTGGAACCACACAGCCAGTGAGTTTACGATGGCATCGGCTGTTCAATAGGGCTAAACGGGAATTCTTACAGAAGGCTTCAACACACCGAGGGTAAGGGTTAGCATCATCACTGATCTTTGAGCAGCTACAGACTGGAGGCTGTGGGTGACCGCACTGGGGAATCCAGCGGGGGCCCTCTGCTCAGAAAGAGCAGGGAAACGAATGCTTATAGCGTCAGTAAATCACGCTTTTTCAAAAATAATTTTCCAATTGTGATCCTGACTTCCTAATAATAACAGAAAAAACCCTTCGGACGTCTGACAAACCCTTAGGAGTTGAGTTGGTTTTCTTTCCTGTCATCCACAAGTCTCCCATCACCATCGGGGGGGATCTGTTTGTTGGAGCTTTGGTATATAAAACTGATATTTGAAAGAAGGATTAGAATGCTGTCCCTGTGACAGCATTACTCCTCAGCGTGACCCATCGTATTCTTTGGTCTCACGAGCCTGAATCTTCTTTGGTCTCTTCTCAGATAGTGAACGAGGCAGCCAAGTATCGCTACCGCTCTGGCAACCTGTTTGACTGCGGGAACCTCACCATCCGGGCTCCGTGGGGTTGTGTGGGCCACGGATCCCTCTACCACTCTCAGAGCCCCGAAGCCTTCTTCGCCCACTGCCCTGGAATCAAGGTCAGTCTGGTAGTTTAACCTCGGCTTAAAAGGTTGTCTATCATTTGAATGAAAGCCATCCTTGATTAATTAATTCCGTCCTTTTGAAATGCAGCTTTTATGAAATGATTAATCTCACGATAAGCTACCTCAGAGAGGGCTGGAAAGTCTGTCCCCTTTAACTTTGTCAGCGATCGCTCATTTGAAATGTCACCACAGCTCCTAACGCTGTTTGATTGTAAAGGGGACACGATGAAGAAGTGGCAGTGGAAGGATTCAACTTTGTTCTCCAACTAGAAATGACGCTTTTTCAACTCAGCTAACTGGAATAGCTTGAACCGATCGTAGGGATGGCTGATGAATGAGTACATAAACCCAGCCATTCAGTACCTTAGCGAGAGTAGGAGAGACTGGAACAAAAGAGAGATGGCCGTACAATTTGAGGCTGGATGAGAGCAACAAACATGCTGTCTCTCCACAAAGGTCAGACTGATAAATGCTAATCTTTGTGCATATTATCAGCACTGGTCACTCTATCTGAGGGTCAGCCCTGACTCACAACCTTACAGGCCCTATTTACTTCTGCTTCTGTTATTTCATCCTTCAAAATGGGAAGACAAACACAGGATGTGGTTTCTTCTCACTACTTCTTATGTGACTGTCAAACTAAGAGTGAAAGATTTTCAAGATTTTTATGAGATCAACAGTTTCTAAGTAAGTCATGTGGTCCTCAGATTGTAATACCTCGTGGTCCAGTTCAGGCCAAAGGGCTGCTTCTCTCCTGTATCGCTGACAAGAACCCGTGCATATTCTTCGAGCCGAAGATTCTTTACCGAGCAGCAGGTAAGCGTGTGTGTGTGTGTGTGAGAGATTTTTCAGCTTCATTTGTACCTCCTATCTGTTTACCAGCATGTTTTAGATGTGATAAAGGTTATTGAATCAGTTGTATTTCCTCTACTGATTTGCTGTTTATGTAAGACTGTGACAGGCACAGCTCACCATCTCTTCACCAGGCAGCCAATGGTTCCATGTGGCAAACCATTTGGAGGGAAAATAGGGGTGGATGGGGGGGGTGTACCTACAGGTTGGGGCTTGACGAGATTAGCAGGACCGCAAGTGTGAAGCCGATCATCGAAATGTTTACAGTACTCAGCCCCATTCTCCCCGTGAGAGGTGAACGTCAGTAACTTTGGCCCATCAAAAACCCACAATATCATAATAAACTCTTAACAGTTGTTGGGAGCCGGTTCAAAACAAGTGTGCCGGAATAATGAGTCGACATCCGTGATTTAAGTCTGCGATGAGAGCTTGATTATAGTAATGAAAGACCTTCTTTGATAAGATGAGATTGCGCGCCGGGCATGCTAACCACACCTCTGTCACATGCTCTGACAGGAGCGCTCGGCTAAAGTGGAAACACAGGCGCGTGCTCCCAGAAAAGCACAGTTCACCTGAGGGGTGTGCGTAAAGAGAAAAATCCACTGGCGAGAGCCATCTTTAAATGAAAACGCATATCAGCCGAATAAAATAGATAAAAGTCATATTTGCCACTATACAAACATAACGACATATCGTTTGGAACACGCACAGTAGAAGAAGAGTAAAAAAAAAAAAAAAGAAAAGAAGAGTGAACAACTCGTGTTTATATAAATAGAAAGATACGTGAATATTTAGAATCAAAGGGTGCAGGGTGTTAATAAAGTAGTAAATACACAAGTGCAGTACAACAAGAAGTAGCACTGATAAGGGATAGCATAGTTAATCAACTGCACATGGCAATGTTGCTCTGGGTCTTCTCTCTAGGTACCGCAGCATCCTCCCACCATCTGAAAACATGCACGTTAGCTTAGGCGTGCGTGGTTGCCTGTCTCCTTTGTTTCCGCGCGGCGGTGTGATGCTCAGAGTATAATGGTCACGGGGTCAGGAAGACCTGGGGCTGAAAGGGCGACCGGGGGAAGCAGTGGGTTCAGAAGGCCGATGACAGCAGAGTGAAACCCGTTTTTGAGCCGTGCTGTGCGTTTGAGCAGCGCCCGGAAAGCAATTCCCAGATGGCAGTAGTATAAAGACCATGTGAGCCAGAAGAGTGCTGGGAGATGGTTGCCGATGATCTTCTGGGCAGACCTGATTATACGCTGGAGGGCCTTTTTACTGTGCCAGTAAGTGAGACCTGGAGAAATTGATTAACAGTGTTTGTGTTGTAGCTAAGAATTCTTCAGGTTCCTCAGGAAGTGCAGGCTGTGAAAACCCTTTTTGGCCATTGGGGATGTATTTGTGGACCATGGCAGGTCAACTGATTTTTTTTTACAACTCTCATCAGCACATAACACCCAGTGTAAAAAAGAGTGGACATAGCTCACTTCAGACACAACTGAAAGCATTTACAACCATTTAAATTCCAACCATTCTGTAGGTCTGTTCTGCTTTACAAGCTTACCCGGCCGGCTCAAAACTTTAGAGACTTTTTTTCCCCCACTAAAGCCGCTTTCATCTTTGCACTGCATCGTTGTAAAGTTTCACCGGTTCTCCGGTGGGTGTGGGGTGAACCCACAAATGTCTGCAGGGTTCACTCGGGAGTATTTGTGAGGCGATTTTCTCACAGAAATTCTGGAAGGTAAATGAGTGACACGCAGCCGTGGCAGCTAACCTTCTGTAGCATTTACTCTGCGTGTGTGAGAGATTGTGTGAGCACTGGCTTGAATTCCTCCATTCACTGATGTTTTCAATTATAGGTGGGAGTTTTGACTGTACTTGATCTGGGGTTTTTGATATGCTGTAAATAAAACACTGTGATTTTTTTTTTTTTACCGCTGTGTCCTGCGAACAGATGCTAACAATATGTCTGCCCCTCGTACATCAGATCCTCTTGTTGTGAGCAAAGGGGTGAACAGCGACAAAGTCCAGACCAAGTTATATTCAGCTTCAAAAGAAAAACGAGAAAGAATTATTTGGAAAAAAGTTGTCTTTCTTTTTTTCTTTTACTTTTTCTTGGTAAGTTGTATCCACTGAGAGAAACAGGCCTAAGAATGAAAACATAAAGTAAACATTTGTAACATGGTTATTTGTCAAAATTGTCCAAAATGTAAGCAAATACCTAAAGAGAAACGACTCCACTCAGTAATCTAGTGTGAGTTTGAAAAGTGTGTGGCTACAGCACCACACTCTAACAGCTTCTGCCTTCAAAAGCTTCACACGAACTTATTTCATGTGGATTGATGTCTTTAATATGGAGCATCTGCCTTCTTATTATCTAATCAAACCTGTGTGGGATTTAGAGGCTGTGAAAGAGCAACATGATGATGTAATAGAAGAATAATCTTTCCGAATGAGGCGTTTCAACAGGGCAGCTGAGAGCAGGTGTCTGAATTATTGGCAGCAGTCATTTTTTGGCATTACTTTTCACTGTCGTTTATTAGCCCCTTAAGGAGTTATGCGATAGTAGACCAGTAATAAGCCAGAGTGAGTATGTGTCCTGCCTGAATAATGCCACCAACGGCATATATGACAAACCCAACTAAAAAAGACAGGAAAATATTTGAGTTATTTTGTTTTAAGATCAAGAAAAAAAAAATCTGGTCCTTACCACATAAAATGATTAAATAAATCTAACCTGACATGAGTGGCAGCATATGGTGGATCGCACAAAGTCGGTATTTATTCAACAAAAAGTGAGCCCAAACAACAAAACACTTGGTGGAAAATCTAAATCTATCCCATATGTCCAAAGCTTTAAGTATTAAGATGCATTAAGTGGAATGTAAGGTTTCATGCAAATACTCACTTAAAAAAATATTTCTTAATTGGTTTGGTCAGGTAAACTTGTAAATGTAAATATTGGAAATCAATACAGCTGAATATCCCCCAAAAAGCTGCTTTTCTTCACAGATGGCTCGTGTCACAGAAGCTGAATTGTAAATTACCCATTGAGACTGTCTCTTAAACCATTAAAGGAATTGGATCCTTCTCTCTTTCCGGTTGTTCTGTCGTAGATTTGTTGGTGCACTTTTACATCACTGTCCCATTATTCGACCCAGTTTCAGAAAAACAAGTCGGCTCGCGTTTGACGCTGCAGCTGCTAAAACTAGCCTAAAGAAACACCCCTCCTCCACCAAGCCTGACGAGGCAATTTGGTTGGTATGTTAACTTTGTACCATCATGTCAATCCGTTTCTACCTGGGTATCTTCAGTATAAATGACACTCTTCCAAAGGCTTTACCATTAGCTTTCTTTTTCAAATCAAGCGCTTTCGGCAGAGAACTTTACCAAAACAAAGCTCACAGGTCCACTCTTTTTCTAACTGGACCTTGTTGAACTCTGACATTTAGCATGCTAAATGCCCCGTGGAGTAGGATGTGCATTTTTTTATTGTATTTCTTTACTTTAGCTCCCTTGCTCACCCTTGGATGAACTTGCTGGAGTCTCCTCTCCAGTGAAGCTTTCTTTCCTAAACCTTTTCCACTTGTTAATAATCATTCTCCGAATACTTTGGATATTGTCGTTAAATCCCGTTCCAGATTGATGAGCAGCAGCGTTTCCCTCTCAGATCACCACCCCACGTCCCTCCTACTTGGCGCTGCTTTGACGCAAACCCGAATTCGCCAAACATATGTTTTTGTAGAGGCGCTCGCACTTTCGGACGAATCGAAGGAAACTCGCCCTCATCTTCCCGTCGAAACACTTCACTCTCTCCAAACCGCTTCCAAGTGCGTAAAGAAACGTAGATAAAAATGTTGTGGCTTCAACAAAAAATCGAGACTTTGGTTTGGACAAATCTCTCGACGGCTTCTCAGCCACGGCCGGCGGCGGGACATCGATGGGTTTTTGCAAAGAAGCCTGGACGGGCCTTTGCCTGCATTGTGAAGTCCTGTTCAGGTCTCCCTTTGTGTGCACTCATCTGTCCTATTTAAGGCCATGCTGTTTTACTCATTACACCATGACCTACTTTTCATAATTGAGTTTAAAGATTCAGAAGAATGCAATTATTACTCTCAATTGACCAATTTGCTCTCATCTGGAAGGCTATGGTCGTATTTAGACCCAACAGTCGCTCATGATTCACAAGAGCACTTGATGCTGTTCTACAACTGTGAGTCAGAGTATGATTTCTCTTTTCCCATCCAGAGGCTGCCACGATGCACGGAAGCCATACATGTTTTTCCAAAGTCAGGGTACTCTCTGGAGTGTAATGCCCAGCCTTCGCTGTAATTTTGACTTCTTGCATTGGCCCTTAGGAATGCTTTTAGCTCAATTTAGTTCATTCAAAATTCCACTAAGCCTTAACTGTGCTCTTCAAATATCTGAACCAATGCCCGGCTCAGAGTTGGACTGAAAAGAAAAAAATGGATCGGGTTTTATATTAGCTTTGTACTATAAATGTTGATAACAAGCTTTATGTTTGATAGCAATTGGGAATGCATTTGCATTGCGAACCAAAAAAAGAGAGAAAAAAGCAAAAATCGGAGACTCCAGATTTTCCAAAACATTAAAAGCTGTTATTGAAACCATACTCTTGACATCTGCTTTCGGTTGGACGTTAGTTCAAAGAGAGGCTGGCTCTCACTTTTGGATCGATGCTCGGAATGGCTGCCCCGGCCCTCCGATGTTTTGTGGTTTTGGCTGGCGGCTGGCTGAAAGAGCTTGTTAGGTCACGCGTCTGATTGCTCTGATAAAAACACGCTGCCTTTAACAAGAAACGAGAGCGCGGAAAAGGATAAAGAGTCTTCGGCAGCGGGCCAACTGGAATGTTCAACAGGGTGAATTCATTTTTTCTTTTTTGCGGTGCATTATGTCACCAATTTGACGTCCGGTCTGTTATTTAGAAACACAGCCGGCTTGGAAACCAAGCGTTTTACATGAGAAGGACGTTGTGAAACGACGAGTGAACGTGTACCTCCATTTGTTCTTCATTTGGTCTGCATGTGAGGTGTTTAAACGCCTGTGTGTGTCTCTGCAGTGGAGCAGGTTCCGGTGGAGTCCTACACCATCCCTCTGTCGGAGGCCGAAGTCTTACAGGAAGGAAGTGATCTCACCCTGGTTGCCTGGGGGACCCAGGTAGGCCGTTCGCCCTCCATTGATGGATTCGGAGCGTGTCACATGGGCAGTGTCAAGTTGGCTATCTTAGGCTTATTTTCCATGACCACAGGAAGAAAGGGGCCGTGTCTCATCTTCATTAAATGATGCTTAATGCCACCGAGGCGAGCAGAGGATTAGCTTTAAGTCCACCTCAAGCCCCCGTGTGTCCCAGCAAGGTCTCTCGTCTGGACAGATGCAGCCATCTCCACGCCACTAATGCTTTCCCCCTCTCCCGATGTGTTGACTCCACATGTCCCCTGCACACTTTCCATTGTGCACCTTCTTTTCACCAGAGAGATTTTATTTGCTACAACTCGGGCTGAAAGAGCCTCAAGCCCACCAGGAAACATCCCCGACTTCGATTATTCCCAGCCTCCTTGTAAGGTTTATCCGGGGTGTGATGTACTAACAGGCTGGCAGGGGGTCCAGGGGCTCTGAGGAGAGAAGGTCTCCTTCAAAGCCTTTTATTATCTTTCAAGGATGGATAGAGAGAACTGAAGGATAGTGCAAAGCATGGATGACAATCCTTTCACAGACTAAGTTCCCCTTCCAGTCAGTCTGTGTGCAGATAAGCCTAAAGGAGTGTCACCCAAACTCATTATTTGTGAAGAATCATTGTGCCTGTTTTAAACACTGAGGTTAAAGAAAACTGGCTTCACTGAAAGCAGCTCTGGATTTTTTTTCTGTTATTTGAAAGTAGCCACTAATGCCTCCTGGCAATTGTTGTTACAATCTCTCGTCCATTACTGGCAGTGTTAGACATAAACCCACATTAGTCAGAGCACACGGAGCAACCGAAACAACATACAATCAGTCTCCCCACATGGTTTAGTTTGTATTAATCAGTTAGAAGATTAGAATACAGACAGAGTGCATAGGGGATTCAACTAGTGTGAATGAAGTAGCTGAAAAATGCCGGGTGCAGTCTGAGGTCATGCAGTAGAAATGAATGCTATAGCTCTGGATTAACTGACCTGGAGGTAGAGTGGAAATGGAGAGTGAAGCAACGTCATCAACTGATTTTTGTAAATGGAGATTCTCATAATCTGTCAGACAAACAGGGAGAGGAAGACTTCGGTTTAATGCGAAGGCTTTTTTTCCCCCCTTCAGCTGCCCTTTTTCTTTTTCTTTTTCTTTTAGATCCACGTGTTGAGAGAGGTGGCCAACATGGCTCAGGAGAAACTGGGAGTCTCCTGCGAGGTCATCGATCTAAGGACCATCCTGCCCTGGGATGTGGAAACGGTTTGCAAGGTACCGAAGACACGCACACATGCCGTCACAAGCCAAGCAGCTCGAGTAAAAAGTGCATTTCACAAAAATAAGAAAGGAAAATGATTAGATTTTCTGTTCACATACATTTTCTTTGCAAAAGGGAACAAAAAGTCCTTTTGTTTCTCCTGGAGAAGCAGCGTCCTGATTCAGAATGACTGAACCATCGCTTTGACACGTCTTCGCGTTTTTTTTACGTAATAGTTGTTTATTTGAATCCTCTTCCTGCTTTATCTGAGTTTATTGTGCTGTATTATTAGGCAATGTTCTTCTGGACTGTGTGAGTCTCTTTGGTGCTTGACAAACAGGATTCCTTCCACTATTGGTAAGCGTCCACTACTACTTTGTGTCGTGTCAGCCTTTTGCAGGCTGTGGCACGTAGTGAGATGAAATCATTCATCTGGGCGGTCTCTGAGAAAGGTCTGCCATCTTTATGTGCTTTGATAGGAGAAATAAAGCATGACAGAGGACAGTTCAGGGAATAATCACAGTAGAGAGAGCCTTTCCATTAAACTATAGATGACTGTAGATTAAACCACTGAATGTCCTGCTGGACAGAGGGATGTTTTGAAGAGGTTTTTTTGCAGATGAATAACACAAGTGTTATTAAGGCAGACATCAATGTGCTTCACAAAGAGAAATGGACAATGTAGGGGCTACTGCCCTTGAATAGCCCCTGCTATTTTTTGCTTTTGGGCCCCCAAATAACTGAATATGATTTAATTACTTTTTTTATTAGTCATTCGCTAAGTTTCTTACTCCTTCACTTGACACTTTGTGTGCTTTGTTTGTGCCAAATCAATCATTTTTCCCAACTATTTCCTCAAACATCTGTGAAAGCCGTAACATCCAACCCCAAAAAGTCCATAACAGCCAATAAAGTTACCCTTGCATCATTTTGATGATTTTGTGTGTCAGAGACACACAGAGAGACCAATATTTTAATCAAGCTTTTATTTAGTTTCATCTCCATTCACCCAGACTGATGCTTAAAGATAAACTTTAAACTTTCATTTAAAAAAAATATTTGAATTGATCACGAGTTTACAGTCAAACATGTAAATCTCACATTATTTAGGGGTGAGAACAGTCACGAGTAGCTTATGTAAGACTCCTCGTATATTAACGCAGGCAAACTCAACACTGGAGAGATGCCAACAAAGCAGTGTCTTGTTCCTTTAATGCATAATAGGAGCTGAAGGATGACGCTGAGATGACCTTTTGCTTGTCCAAAGGTGGACGCGTCTCGTTCTCATTTATTGTAATTTTTGGCATGGGCGGCTGCTCCCTCTGCACAATCCACCTCCACAGGGACAGGCTTTATCATTCATGAGGAAGGTCTGGTAGTGTGCTTTTCGTGGAGCCCTTTGGGCCTGTTTTGCATTTGACACAATACTTACGAGCATTTGATTGATTCCTTTAGCCAAAAGGAATAGTACTTTTTAATCTGTTAGATTTATCAATGTTCTAGATTTCCAAATGTTTTTTAGAAACGTTTTTTTACCATTGTCTTTGATCTCCATCATGAGATTAATAGCTCTCCTTTTCAGTGTTTTGGTTGGATGAAACAAACCAGAGGCTTTAGGTTCTGTGGCAATATGGAGCAGATGATGAATAGATTCATCAGAGAATGGTTAGTTGGGTAAATCAGATTCTGTCTTAAAAATGTATGAAAACATAGAAAGCTGGTCAGTAATGGCAGTTCATAATATTTCCCAGAAATGTATAGGTCCACCAGAGCACACAACAAAAAAAGCTTTATGCCCATTTTTCAGTTGCAAGTAGAGCAGGAATAGAGGCCGGCCCCGTTTGTCCTCTGTGACCCCGTACAGTAGTGCCCTAACTACCGGGTGCTGCAGCGCTGCTTTGAGCTGCCGTGACTTTAAATGTCTGAGAACCAACAGAGCTGCAGCCACAGAGCCATCCACAACATCTCTCACACTCACACTCCATCCCACCATTTCAGAATCCAGATCACGTTTGAATACCGGCACATCATGCCATTATTGGTTTGAAGTTGGTGCATATTTATAGAACCGGTTAAGCTGTCATTTACTTTAATGAGTAGAAACAGTTTGCATATGTCTATCTACAGAATATCTTGTAATAAAAAGAGACATTTGTAAACTGGATATTTTTTTTTTTTTTTTTTAAGTTAAGTGGAGTCAGATTCTGATTTAGAACCCAACTTAAGATAAATTTTCCTTTTTGACTGCCAACACACTGGTGACTTTATTACTGAAGTAAAAGTACATTTGCCACCAAAAACTGTCAGTGTGGCTAAGAAGGTACTAATGGAAAAGCTCCATAATTCTTGTAGCTGGTCATTAACGTTTACTCCAAGACAGAGAATTTGCTCAAAAGCGATCTCTCTGCTGTATTGCATCCTCCGGTAGATGCTATTTTCTGAACGTTCAGTACACATTTCGGTTGCTAATATTCAGGCTGACTGTCTCTTAAAGATACACTAGGACACTTTTTGCTCAACTCCCCGAACCAGACTATATGATGACCCGGTGGCAGGATCGCGGTGTTCATCAGAGCAGTCCACAGCGCAAGTTGCTGAAACATTTTACCGAAAGGTGGTCCTGATTTCTGAGCCTGATGCCATTTTTAGTATTTGACGCCCGAAGTTTGGCTTCTCTGACGCATACGCTCACACACACACACACACACACACACACACACACACACACACACACACACACACACACACACACACACACACACACGCACACACACACACACACACACACACACACACACACACACACACACACACACACACACACACACACACACACACACACACACACACACACACACCTCTTTTGAGCCGCTCATTAACCGGACGTCAGATTCCGAGTGTGCAGATGGAGCAACGGTCTGCAGACCCACTTCCCACTGCTAGAAGCCTATTAGATTTTTTTCTTTTTTTTTTACCGTGTGAGTCACACTCCCTGTACCCATTTCTCAGTAGGTACGTGTTTGTGTTCTGTGGCGAGCCGACTTATCCGAGCCGTTCTGGAAGTATGAAATGAATAAAGAATGAAGTGTCTTTGACATTGGGAGATCATTAAGGCTGCACTTTCCTTTCCTTTCCGTTCCTTTTAGCCGCCGGCTAAATATAACCAACATTCTTGGTTGACAACGGCCCTCTTGAGCAGACATTGTTTCAGAAATATAAAAAACTGTAGTTTTTTAAATTTTGTCCCACTGTCTGATGTGGTCATTTTGTTCCTAAAAAGATCAATAAAAATGGCTGGTGTGATATATCGGCTTCATAACTCCTCATTAAAGGGACAGTTTTCCTCTGGTTTGATGCATTTATAGTTGTTTATACGGGACTTTGGTCATCCTTTCCGATGCGTTTCTACATGAACGCACGTTTGCTCGACCTGACCAGTCAAGAAAAGATTCTCTGTTGCTCCCGTCACTCTGCTGCTCTGTTCGGGGGTGATTCAGCCTCATCCTCAGCTTTTCCACACCTCGGCTCCAGCCAGTGAAGAATCGGAGCACCTTTGCCGGGGCCAGCCATAATACAGTCATCATTTCATTAACCGTGACTGGAGACCGCGATCCCCCCCGGCACCACACACACACACACACACACACACACAGTCCCGAACGGCCAGCGGCTCAGACACCTGGGCCACCTTCACAACTTCCACAAGGGGTCTCTCTTTTCTTGCTGCTTTCAGCTGCTCTGTGCTCCGCTTATCAAACGTGTGAGAGCTCAGTAAAAAAAACATCCATAGTACAGCAAAAGCTGCTGCTATGAATTAGCCGATGTGGCAAAAATGAAGCCTTGTTTTTTGAGGTAATGGCCCAAAGAGGACTAAAGCCTCAGCATCTGCCTCACATACAGAAAACAGCCTAAATGTTGTTTTTTAAGGAAAAGAAAGTTAAAAACATTTTTTCTTTTTTATGTCTCCTTCTCTTTTTTAATATTGTAAACATAAATTGACTTATATGTATAAAAAAAACGTGCAACTAGCTGTGTTTGCATTTTGTTCGATTGTCGCAGAGCCTAAACCCTCGGCCCTGCATTTCTCCGGCCCCCTCCACCTCCTTCAGCCCTCTCAGTGCTGTCGGATACACCCAGCTGTGTGATTTATTTCCTCAAGCCTTCAGAATATGTAACTCAGGACGCATCCTTTTAACAGGTCGTAGCTTGTCCGTGACTTTACAAGTCCCATCTGCTCCTATAAAACGCCTTGTGATACTCCAACCAACATCATCGGCCTGTGTTGTCAAAACTAAGCAGCCCCCTTCGTGAACAGTGGAGATTTTCAGCTTGACTTCATTTCAATTGCAACATTTTTATGATAAGGTGTCCAGGGGAGGCCAAAAAAAAAAATCTACAACTTAAATGGGATTCTCTCTTTGCAGCTTGTTTCCTTGTTTACCCAGCAAGCATCTGTCCTCTAGATGAGAGGAATTCTTTAAAAAAAAAAAAGCTGGTGTTATCTAAAGTTGTGGGACTTCCAAGCAGGATTCTCACTAAACGATGTGGCTGTGAACACACCGAGTACAGGTTTCTATGAAGATCCTTGGGTTTGTGTTCAGGATCAGGGTCCCTGCGTCCATCTCGCCCCGCGTTTTTCTCTGGTGTGGCTACTGACGGCCTCTCCAGCTCATTGTCCTCTCTTAAGGACTTGTAAACGTTCTGCCTCAGACGTGTCTTGGCCGGCGGCTCGGCTGAAGTCTCTGCGACTGGATCCCGGCCCTCGTTGTGATGCAACCCAGTTTGGACGAACCTGCTCAACCCAAGACAACACACATCCAACGAGTCAAATAAGGACACAGCAGGCGCGCATCATTGTCATAAGACATAGGGAATGCGTTTGTTATATCGGTTCCAAACAAAAGCAGTTTTTTTGCTGGATGGTTATTAGAACAGGGAGGAGAGGGGTTTTTGGAAGAATGCGCATCAACAACTGTTCTGATTCTTGGAAGCGACGCAAGTTTGGATGTGTGTGTGCTCTGCGTGCTCTTGAGGCTGTGCTGATAAGAGGTGCACCCCCCCCCCCCACCCCACCCCCACCCCAGGCGATTCTGCCTTA